AAAGTTTGATAATTCCAAGCCAATTACTGTTGGAAATATTCAAATTAAGCCATGAAATTCCAAAAGTAGGTCACAGTGACCTACTTTTTCATTGATACACTCCGAATACTCAAGATGCATCAACTGACAAAGTTTGATGATTCTAAGCCAATAAGTAACTGAAATAGCCATAAAATTCAGAAAGTAGGTCATGGTGACCTACTTCTTGGTTGACACACTCCGAGGACTTAAGATGCATCAAATGACTAAGTTTGATGATCCTATGCTTCAAAGTGTCCAAAATATTCCCTTAAAACAATTTGAAAATGAATACCTGTAAAATTCCAAAAGTAGGTCACTGTGACCTACTTTTTGATAAATCTGTTTTAAGGCCCCTAGGTGCATCAACTTACAAGGTTTGATGATTCCTAACCTCTTAGTATGTGAAATAATGACCTTTAACGTTTAGAAAATAAGCCATAAAATTCCATAAATTCAGAAAGTAGGTCACAGTGACCTACTTTTTGGTCGACACACTTCAAGATCTCATGATGCATAAACTGACAATTTTTGATGATCATAAGCTTCAAAGTATCCAAGTTATGCATCAAAAGTAAAATGAATACCTTCAAAATTCAGATAGTAGGTCACTGTGACCTACTTTTGAGTCAACATGATATGAGGTCCTTAGATGCATCAACTGACAAGATTTGATGACCCTAGGCCTTATAGTGGGCAAAATATGAAAGATTAAACAAAACCTAAATTTTGGTCAACTTTGAAGTGACCTTGAGACAACGCCCTTTGCCCCAGGGCGATTCCCAGTGCAAATTATCCTCATCCTTGTATATAAGTTCGGTGATAATCTGCCCAGTGGTTCTTGGGAAGATTTTTTAGCAACCACTACTTTTGTTTTTATTTCCCTAATTATATCCTCTTGTTTAAGGACCACATCCCTAGTTTTAGTATAAATGAAAGCTCTTTGGGCCAAGGATACTCTGTGACAAATTAAAAAATTGACTAAGGGGTGCTTGAGATATGGCCCATTTTCCAAAAAGTTTACGCACATCGCACAAATGGCCATAGCATTAGCTCTTTTAGCCTTTGGCTCAGAAGAGCTAACAAGAGGCCCATGGGCCACATCGCTCACCTGAGTAACTTTGGCCATGCTGTTCATTACCAGACTCCCCCCTTGTAATACCTATTGTGGCCCCACCCTCCCCCCAGGGGCCATGATTTGAACAATTTAGAATCTACACTATCCCAGGATGCTTCCACATAAGTTTCAGTTTTTCTGGTCCAGTGGTTCTTGGGAAGATTTTTAAAGATTTTTCCTATATATTTCAATGTAAAACTTGGATTCCCCCTATTGTGGCCCCGCCCTATCCCCTGGGTCATGATTTGAACAATTTAGAGTGTACACTACTTGAGGATGCTTCCACATAAGTTTCAGCTTTTCTGGCCCAGTGGTTCTTGAGAAGAAGATTTTTAAAGATTTTTCCTATATATTTCAATGTAAAACTTGTATTTCCTATTGTGGCCCCGCCCTACCCCCGGGGGTCATGATTTGAACAATTTAGAATCTACACTACCCCAGGATGCTTCCACATAAGTTTCAGCTTTTCTGGCCCAGTGGTTCTTGAGAAGAAGATTTTTAAAGATTTTTCCTATATATTTCAATGTAAAACTTGGATTCCCTATTGTGGCCCCGCCCTACCCCCGGGGGTCATGATTTGAACAATTTAGAATCCACACTACCCCAGGATGCTTCCACATAAGTTTCAGCTTTTCTGGCCCAGTGGTTCTTGAGAAGAAGATTTTTAAAGATTTTTCCTATATATTTCAATGTAAAACTTGGATTCCCTATTGTGGCCCCGCCCTACCCCCGGGGGTCATGATTTGAACAATTTAGAATCCACACTACCCCAGGATGCTTCCACATAAGTTTCAGCTTTTCTGGCCCAGTGGTTCTTGAGAAGAAGATTTTTAAAGATTTTTCCTATATATTTCAATGTAAAACTTGGATTCCCTATTGTGGCCCCGCCCTACCCCCGGGGGTCATGATTTGAACAATTTAGAATCTACACTACCCCAGGATGCTTCCACATAAGTTTCAGCTTTTCTGGCCCAGTGGTTCTTGAGAAGAAGATTTTTAAAGATTTTTCCTATATATTTCTATGTAAAACATTGATTCCACATTGTGGCCCCGCCCTACCCCCGGGGGTCATGATTTGAACAATTTAGAATCTACACTACCCCAGGATGCTTCCATATAAGTTTCAGCTTTACTGGCCCTGTGGTTCTTGAGAAGAAGATTTTTTAATGACCCCACCCTATTTTTGTCTTCTCTTGATTATCTCCCCTTGTGAGGGGACTTGGTCCTTCATTTTAACAATTTAAATTCCCCTTCACCCAAGGATGCTTTGTACCAAGTTTGGTCAAAATTGGCCCAGTGGTTCTTGAGAAGAAGTCAAAAATGTGAAAAGTTTACAGACGGACGGACAGACAGACAGACAGACGGACAACGGACAGACGGACGGACGGACGACGGACAAAATGTGATCAGAAAAGCTCACTTGAGCCTTCGGCTCAGGTGAGCTAAAAACTATAGGTTCGTGGATATTTGATTACGTGGATGAAGAATTAAGTAGTTATGAATATGAAATTTTGCATTTCGTGATGGACATTAACTTGGGTCTCTTCGAAAACAACGAAAATTAAATTAAACCCCCCACCAAAATTTGTGATTTCACAGTAGGTCTATTCATGTAACAAATTCTTAAACGTGTATAATGATTGGCTTTCTCTCGTTTTCAGTTTCTACTGAAAAGGACCTGTTATGACATTTTGAAAACCTTTAAAGACCGCTCATTCCGAAAGGCACCAGTTAGGAATAAGTGTGTTATCTTCAGAGCTTTTCCTGAGTGTTTGCAAGGTAAGGAGCAAAGTCATGAAGAATTCTCACTACACTTCCTATTCATTGTACTCGGGGATAAAACATTACTGGTATAAGGATGAAATATGGAGATAATGAACAGTAACCATGCTTAAAAATCCATTGAAGCAATACAAATTTGGAGCACAACAAACACGGACCTCTAAAAACATCAGAGGTGCATGGGACCAGGTGCCATGGAAAAATAAGCATCGCCTTTCGACCGGTCCCGCCCCAGTGTGCTCCTTGTCATGACTGGGCAAACGGAAAAATCCGTAGATATGTAATTCAGCGTGAAAATAATGGCCTAACACTTAATATGAAAAATGTAATTCAGCGTGAAAATAATGGCCTAACACTTAATATGAAAAACGTCAGTCAACATTCGACTTTGATAGATTGTATTTGCTAGCAAGGTCATTGTATCGACCATAGAATGTTGACTTTATACAAAAATGTCGATATTATTGTTTCATGAACTTATTTGTCAATAGCTTGCCTCATTTTGGAAAATGTTCGTACGTAAAGAATGCTCCTGCGTATTGAATAACTGGGAAACACAAACTCCATATGCAGGTGATAATGGTATAATCATAAAACATCGTCGATATATCTAAATGTTAAAATAAAGGCCACAGCATGAGACTTCCTTCCATGTTGAAGTATTAAATAAATTTTGCTTCAAAGGTCTGCTTATAACAGGGCGTAATTAGTAACCATGGAAATTTTAAGAGATTGTTGGAAGACTTGATCTCTAAAACCTACATACTTTAGATATTGTCAATCAGTAACTCAAGCATCTTTTTCATATCAACTTCGGAATACTTGTGTGTACCATAAGAATGTTTTTAACAAAATAATTTTGCAAATAACCAATGACAAGAGTAAATTTACGATTTCCATTTTTATTAAAAAAGCAGCTGTTCCACGATGTCAGAAAGCCTGGACTTTAATTTATTGTGGGAAATGGTTGTATAAAGTGTTGAACAGTCGTATGTTAACTCATTAGTGAGAAGTTCTGATAAACATGTAGCATATTATACTCTATACATGTATATTATTCCAAATTACATTGTACTTTTCGCTCTTAAAGAAAGTATTCAAGAAATTTATCGCAAGATTAATGTACACTGCACATTTTGTTTTCTGAAACAAATGTTACTTTTTCACTTAAAAGGTTTGCAAAAACCATCAAGAAGGAAACGGGACGTTGCAAATGTGCTGAATTATGTCCAAAATTTCATGCAGTTCATCAGTAGTGCCAGTCCCACTGCGACATTTAACAAGAGGCGCACCAGAATTAATATAAAAAATTCCCAAGACTATGCCGCTACCGACTTTACGTCACACATACGTCCACATCTCCGAAGGTTGCTGGGGAAAATCCGAGGAATAAACACAGGGGGCGGTCGCATCGGGAATAACGCTCAAGTGGCTATTTCCTACATACAAGACAGTATCGGAAAAACTGTGTCAGACATTGATGGGACAATTGTTAGACGACCAAGAAAAAAAATGATTGAATGATTCATTTTTTTTAAATTTTTTCCCGGGGGAGGGGGGGGTCAGCCCTTGAACAATTATATAATTAGGTGAAAATTGATTCCGCATGAAATCTTCGAGAGGGGCTGCTTCTTGATCATCTTAAACATCAATTACTATGTATTTTTATTTAGCTTATTGGAACTGAACACTGATATGACCTTCACATAAAAAAATTGTAGTTTTCATTGGTTCATCATGCCAATTTCTGGACAATTAAATATAATAGCAGCATTTCTTCACACATAAAATTTGCATTTTATTAATGCGTACTTTGGGCTACAACGTATATTCCAACGTTTATTATTTTCATGTAATTTATATGTAAATAAAGTCGAGACAGCCTTAATTCACTTCTGTAGTTAAGAGTATATTAATCTAAAATTTGGACTTATCCATAAATTCAAGATAAAACATCGTACCTTCATTAAGGGCACTTTCCAGTGAAAGATTAAATGTGCGTCTTGAGAACTACGCAGTTACCTAGCTTGTGGCAGTTTTGTTTTTATACAGTAGGGGACATACAAAATAAAAAAAGAAGTAATCAACATAAACATTTATTATAGGGAAAAAATTATCCCTTGTTCGTTGATCTTCTATTTATTGACTATAATGAGAACAATCCTATTTTTTCAGATAAATGTTCATGTATCCAAATCTAAAATCAAACTAAGTAAAATTATTTCAGAGTACAGAACTGAACATTTTCATGATTCAAATTTCAGGATTCAAAGATGCACAACCGTTTTACCAATACAATTGGATTTTTAAATATTACAGAATACAGATAAAATGTTTCCTGGTACAACTGTCTCTAAAATACATGGTAAAAATGTGAATTTGTATTTGCATATACATATTTACTTATGATAGGAAAATAGCACTATTCAAAAATATCTTACAACACACTGAAACGTACATCTTTTAGCTCAATACAGATAATTCTTCTCAAATGACCTTGTCCTTGACCAAGTGACACTGATCAGAGGGCAAGCTGCATTGTTAGTCCTCATTTGTTAGCTGAAGGGTGAAAATTTTACAGGAATGCTAAAAATCACTGATAAAATATAGAAATTGACATAAATAGAAAGATAACAAAAAGGAGGGAAAACAAAATGAAAATGGGGGACAATTTTGGTACATTTATCCATTACAACACAACTAAACTACATTAACACAAACTAATTCCTACATTGAGTACAAAACATTCCAGACAAAAAAAAATATATGGGAAACAGAAGTGTAAAGAGCCATGAGTCAAATATCAAATATTTTAAACTTCCTTTCGAAAAAAGTCTGTGGTTGGATACAAATTAACAAAAATCAAGACACCCATTTAAATTTATTCAAATTCAGAAATACAACATTTTGGACTCTTACAAATTACACATTTCAATTTTAATCATTAGTTTAAGAATTAGTACCAAGTTTAAAACAAATCTAATGAAGTACTTGTATATCAAAGGTGACATTTTCTGTAAAATGATATAAGTTTCATAACAGGGTGTTGTGTTTCTAGTTGTGGTATTGATTAAACACTTAATGCTTATCTAAATCAGGCGTGGTAACCAGAGCATCTCAATATCTTCGTACAGTATAAATGACTAGTTTAGTTTCCAGCAAGTAAATAAATAGTCTGTGTATTGCACATCACATTCCAATACCTTTCACTACATGCACTAACTTATCTACATCACCTATTCTGCAGACAGCACAATTGCAGGTACACTGTACATGTATCAGAGTCTTCTCACAAGCATATAGACGTACATGTACAAATAATCTCCCTTGGCTGGTATCTTATTATAAAGGTAACCTAAGAAAACTGCATCAAAACCAATTTTTGTTTAATAATTAAATGATATTCACAGATTTTTTTAGTTTGTTTTGGTTTGCTGTTTTCATTTATTGCTCATGCAATCCTTGTCCCGGAATCTTCACCCCTTCAAAGATTCCTTTATTTTGTGGTCTGTTTCATTGCTCAATCATCGTTCCCTAGTTTGCGCCTCCTCTGAATAAACTTCTTGAGATCCCAGTCTTTGTGACTCAGCATATGAGGTCCATTATAAACACAGAGGTATGTCATGTTGTCTGCATATTCCATATCTGGCAGTAGCTGGAACAAATTAAAATTGAACTTATTTAGGAGGAGTAGCATTCTAAAAAATTCACGTATTCTTTTCTCAGAAGCTATGGCAACATTGATAAGTAGATTTATGAGTTTTATTTAGGTGAATTAGTCTACCAGTTTTTATAGGTGTAAGAACAAAACCATACAAGGTGTACTAATTGCCTACAAAGGTATAATATACCTGTGAACCATGTCCTACTGAAATTTAACCAAAACTGCAGAAAGAGCAGCATTCTAAAATTTCTATTCTATTTTTGGTAACCTTGGCAACACCCTTCATTCAAATCAAAAACCTATATGACAGATTTACATATCCTACTGTGGAATTCTCTAAAAAAGACTGTTAAAAAAAGAAATGATACAATACTAATTCCATACCTTGGGACTAAGAAGGAAATACTGAGACCTAGATCTCTGGCAGACTGTTTTTACTACCAACTCAAACACCTTCCTCTCATTCACCGGGTCCATGCCCTGTAATATCAATAGAAAAGCAGATTTAATTTATTCAATTTATTCCTGGTATGCTTAATGTTTGTACAATCTCTCAAAAGGATTGATAATATGCAAAAACTTCAAAGAAGCCTTTGCTACTTCCTTTAATCTGGAAAAAACTGCCATTTGACAATTCAGACAGCTAGTATGCACATGCAAGTGACAGTTAAGAACCCTCTATACACTGCACACTAAAAGAATTTCTGATTCTGTGTTTTTTCTATGCAGTTAAGAGTTATCTTCCCTTAAATGAAACAAATGAAATCTACAGCCTAATTCTCAACTTCTAATCAATTCAAGCATTCTTAATGATTAATTGGCAAAGATAAATTAATTGAACACTTTATTTGCAATATATTTTCCCTAATTAACTAAACAACAGTGAATTCTGTTCAGCAATACAGTACTTAGTCTTTGAACATTTATCCTGGAAGAAAATGCCAGATACCTGATGCTGAAAATGAAATAGATAAGTTCTCTATTTACAACTTTATAACTTTTTCAATGTCCACTTGAAATTTGCAATAGTGTATCGAGTGTTCTTCAATTCTTTTAATACATGACTCAAAATCACACAACTAGATGGAGATTGCTGACATACCTGGTTGATCTCGTCGACACACCTGAATGGACACTTGGCCAGTTCCTGGAGGGCCAGAAGATACAGGACGGTAGCCACACTCCTCTCACCACCACTCTGGTGGTGCATGTTCAGCTCCCTCAACTGCTCCGCATCACGATACTTCACCTTGATCCTTACACCATACTTCTCGTAGTCCTCCTGTCAAGAGAATTATAAAAGATTGATGTACACAGAAGTTTGAGTGGAAATTTGAATAATCTGTTCTTTAATTTGTCCTCAACTCTCCCCTTTCATTTTCTTTAAAAAAAAATCAACAAAAACAAATATGTTTCAGATATAAGTTACTAATAATTGCATTTTGATATACGAAAATGTTTAGCATGTAACTAATAGTTGTTATGTAGGATAACAATAATGGGTCAAAAGTTAAGCGTTAATCTTTCAAATCCTTTTTCTCAAGAACAGAAGGACCACAATAAGTAATATGAGTGACCTGCAAGCACCCTTATGTAATGAAGAACACAAGGTTTGATCCAATATTTCCAGAGGGAAAAAATGGGGGGGGGGGGGGGGGGGGGTTCAAAAGTAAAATGAGAACAGACACTTTCAATACTTGTAGTTAACATGAGTTTCATAGCATAATTTTCTTAAAACTTCTTTGTTCAGAGCTGGGCACATCAAATCCATCCATTTTAAAATAAATTTGAATTTTCTTTAAATTTTCTCCCCATTCAAACAAATTAATTACACACCTCATTAGCAGGAACACTGAGATCCACCTCTCCAGCACAATTCATGCAGGAGAAGAAATAGCCAAAGTTCTCGTTGATCTTTTCCATGAGTTCTCGCAGAGGCTCCAGCCATTGTCGCTTAATCTCCTCAATTCTTTCCTGATGACCACTTATTTCTCTTTCACGATTTTCTATTTCGGTTTCTAACTGATTGATTTCTGTCTTACGATTACGATATTCTTGCACAACCTAAAATAAAGACAAAGAGAGAATATTTTCCACAGGACTTCATTACTTATAATATTAGTTAGTATATGTAGAATTTTAATAAAATTACCAACAATTGTGTCTCTGTTAAACTGATATTCATACTGGGTAAAGGATTGCGTACCAAATAAAACAGAGAATCACCATAGGTTCTCTGTATCTGGATTTACCTTTTCATCCATTTGACAGAGTGACTCACCATTACCATCCTATAAGTATAGAGCGAGTCACCTTTGCTCCCTATATGAACACTTACCTTTTCATTCGTTTGAAAAAGCGAATCACCTTAGCACCCTATATGAAGACTTACCTTTTCATCCGTCTGATAAAGTGAGTCAGCCCTGGCTTCCTGAATGTGGATCGCCTCATCAATCTCCTCCACAGTGTTACCAATTACATTCTTAAATAACTGCAAACAAATATATATCATATTTATAGAATATTATAAACTTTATGTCATAATGTCAAAAGGAGAAGTGATTTAAATACCTGGAAAAATTCTCAACAGATTAAATTATCTTATTTTTTATCAAACTTATTCACTGATCATTTATTTACAGGTAAATAATTTTAATAGAATAAAGACATGCTATAAAGGAAGCTACCAGCTCAGCAACTCTGGTAGGCAATATTAGTTTCACCATAACATGTCAGACATGCCATTCCCAACCATGTACAGATTACTAACCGCTCTGATTTCTGGAGATAATTCCTCATTGTCAGCCGTCCCTGTGGCTTTCTTAGCTATAGATAACAACCTCTTGGCCTTGTCTTTAATTTCTCTAACTCTCTCTTTAGCCTCCTCAAACTCCCTCTGAAAAAAGGATTTTGCTTTACTTCACACAATTAACAGCTAATTAACTAATCTCATTTTGTAAATATCACAGCAGACAAATTGATAAGTTGCGATATCCCGGGCCTTTACAACTAATGTGAAATATTCCATGTGTCACGTACAGATTGTTGAATGCTTCTTGCATATACATACGACTCTATTATCTACCCCCTTTTTCCCTTTGAAGTCTGACTTATATTCTTATTAATAAGTTTCTAACACTTACCTCCAAGTCTTGCAAGGAATGGGATTGCTCTCTTTTTGCGTCCTCCAAATTCTGAAGATCCCGTACAATGGAGGCATGCTTCAGGCTTAGCCTTACCTTTCTTATACTGAGACTCAAACATTCCTGAAAGCAAACAAGCGTATCTTATGAAAGTGACATACATATTGAATATAATATGCATATATTTTTCTAGTAAACATGTTTGAAATGCATTTCTAACATATTTTGCAATTTTAACTGAGTGCGTAATTTTCATAATCAGTAAAATTGTGAAATTATTTATATTTCTTGGGGCTTCTGTTTTTTTTGTGGATTTCAGAGTGTATACTTTGCCTTTTGTTCTAGTACAAATTTAGAGCCTTAACATTCATCCTGGAAATTTAAGTTCTTATGAACTTTTAAATTTATAGCAATCCACAGAATCTGGCCTTAAGAAAGATAAATTATATCACACTAGGCACAACGTGTTAACAAAGACATTTCAGCCAAAAGAGTCTGTGACTGTAGCATTTTCACATTCAATCCTCACTCGACAAAGCTCATAAAATGATATTTCCTGCTGCATTTTTTTTTCAATTAGACTAAACACAAGTTTTACACTTGTTATGCCAGTTACCTTAAACTTAACCATATGACCTTGAGTTAAGGTTAAGACACACCCTCAGGTCACAAGCATTCTTTGTGACAAGTATGAGCTTCTTATGTTTCTTCTTTTCTGAAGGTGATCTTACAGACTGACAGATGGATGGACAGTCAAGGTAACTTCTCATTATCCCCCCCCCTTCCCAAAATATTCATTTGCATGGGAATACAATTAATCCTTTCACTGACAAGGAAATCAAATAATTATCATATTGATGACACAATACAGTATTTCATGTTTTAAAACAAGAGGCCCATGGGCCACAGCGCTCACCTGAGTAACTTTGGCCTTGCTGTTTTTCACCTGATTTCTCCCCCCCCCCCCCCCGGTAGTACTTATTGTGGCCCCGCCCTACCCCCGGGGGTCATGATTTGAACAATTTAAAATCTACACTACCCCAGCATGCTTCCACGTAAGTTTCAGCTTTTCTGGCCCAGTGGTTCTTGAGAAGAAGATTTTTAAAGATTTTTCCTATATATTTCAATGTAAAACTTGGATTCCCTATTGTGGCCCCGCCCTACCCCCGGGGCTCATGATTTGAACAATTTAGAATCTACACTACCCCAGCATGCTTCCACATAAGTTTCAGCTTTTCTGGCCCAGTGGTTCTTGAGAAGAAGATTTATAAAGATTTTTCCTATATATTTCAATGTAAAACTTGGATTCCCTATTGTGGCCCCGCCCTACCCCCGGGGGTCATGATTTGAACAATTGAGAATCTACACTACCCCAGCATGCTTCCACATAAGTTTCAGCTTTTCTGGCCCTGTGGTTCTTGAGAAGAAGATTTTTAAAGATTTTTCCTATATATTTCAATGTAAAACTTGGATTCCCTATTGTGGCCCGGCCCTATCCCCGGGGGTCATGATTTGAACAATTTAGAATCTACACTACCCCAGCATGCTTCCACATAAGTTTCAGCTTTTCAGGTCCAGTGGTTCTTGAGAAGAAGAATTTTAAAAGATTTTTCTTATTAATTTCAATGTACAACTTGGACTCCCTATTTTGGCCCCACCCTACCCCTGGGGGTCATGATTTGAACAATTTAAAATCTACACTACCCCAGGATGCTTCCACATAAGTTTCAGCTTTTCTGGCCCAGTGGTTCTTGAGAAGAAGATTTTTAAAGATTTTTCCTATATATTTCCTATGTAAAACATTGATTTTACAATGTGGCCCCGCCCTACCCCCGGGGGTCATGATTTGAACAATTTAGAATCTACACTACCCCAGGATGCTTCCATATAAGTTTCAGCTTTACTGGCCCTGTGGTTCTTGAGAAGAAGATTTTTTAATGACCCCACCCTATTTTTGTCTTCTCTTGATTATCTCCCCTTGTGAGGGGACTTGGCCCTTCATTTTAACAATTTAAATTCCCCTTCACCCAAGGATGCTTTGTATCAAGTTTGGTCAAAATTGGCCCAGTGGTTCTTGAGAAGAAGTCAAAAATGTGAAAAGTTTACAGATGGACGGACAGACAGACAGACAGACGGACGGACGGACGACGGACAAAATGTGATCAGAAAAGCTCACTTGAGCCTTCGGCTCAGGTGAGCTAATAATTAGAACTGTTCGAAATGGACAAATACCCCCCTCCCTTTTTGTTGGTCCTTACCTTCATAGTGTGCAAGATATTGTTAGCATGCTGTATATTATGAAAAAAAATGTGTAATCTTAATACAAGTTGAACATTTTTTAAAATGGTCACTGCATAACTCTTAACATTTGCAGGGGCTATCTCCCTTAGCTTTTTTTAATACTTGTTAACTTTTTTAAAGTTCTAATGACCTTTTTTAACGACACTTCACATTTTTCTATACAAGCATCAACTGGAAGTTTGTTGATTTTATGTCTCAAATCTACATGAACCCAAAATGATTAAGTCTATAAATATGAAAAAAACACCTGTTAAGTGAAGAGAAATTGTCTAATCGTGATGAAAAATAACATGTGTACATCCTTATACAGTAAATAATGTGCAAAGTGTAAAAATTTTCAGATAAATCCATGGCGTAGTGTTCAGGAACATGTTTGGACAAAATCATGTCTATAGACATACAAACAGCTAGACGGACATGCCGATTCCAATTGATGGACACGCCCATTCCAATATACCCTCCTAGACTTTGTTTGCAGGTGGTAAAATAATTATTGATAATCATAGTCAGATCAAATATGCTTTGCATAGCAGGTAATTCCAATTTTTTTTCATTAGATCATTTCATTCAATTAACACTTCTTTATTGGTACTTTATAGGGAAAACAGTGACATGTCTATTAGGCTATAACTATTTTTCCCCATGAACTTTTAATAGTTAAAAAGGATACACAGTATTTCCTGGTATTTATTTTTTTTTACATTTAAGCTTTTTAAAGAAGAAAATGCTAGTATCAATACGAAACATACATGTAGAAGGAGCCTCACACTGCAAGAATGAAACACTAGAGTGCTCCAATGAAAAAAATCTCTATTGCCTCTATGTACATTCTACATGTGTTATTGTAAAAGTGTAACTCCTCCCATAGATGCTGTGGGGCAGGAAAAGTGACCCCTATGTCCAGCTCAACAGGTGACACAGCATACCTTAGTGTTATCCTTCATTTTCTGGAGACAAACACACATTTTAATATTCAGGTCCTTCTTTTTTCTGTCTGTTGCCTCCTTCTCTGCATCTAAATCTATTGCTTCGGCCTCCTCATTTAGAATTCTATAGAAAAGTTAATAAAATACTAATTATCACTAGAAAAATGATATTAACAGTAATTTCCAATTAATTTTCAAATAATAATGTGTGGGTATAAATTAATTTTTTCATTCTGGAAACTGGTAGGAGGGGTAGGGGGGTTAGATCCATTAGATCCATGCTTTAAAATCATAAATAATGAAGTCAGGGACAATCAATTTTGATTTGTTATAAATATTATTCATTATATCCCTTACATTCATGATATGTTTTAAAACAAGGAATCAGTTTGCTATAAGCATGAATATACATGTATTACAAGTGTGTTCACTGTAAGGCGAAAAAAAATCAATCTTGGCTGAAAATTTCAAAAATCAACAAGGCAGGCAGGTTCTTTTTTATTTGAACCAGTGTTCTCTTTTTTACATGTTAGTCAAACAAAATGTAGATATCAACTGATTCTTACATTATGTATCTAATAATGCGTCCATCTATTAGCATGTATGAAAATGGGAATTACTCAAATTTCTTTTCACCTTGAAAAAATAGAAAATTAGCTTATTTCCCTTTTCAATATGTCAATAAAATAGATCATAGTGGCAGTGTTTAAAATAATGTGCCTGAGAAACTATAGATAAGTTTTTTTGGCCTAACCGTTTTTTACTGTTTAAAACATTAAAAAAATTTCTTGCATGATGCAATGAATATATTGAAATTGTAAAAAGAAGAGTGATATTTATAAATTGTCATATAGTCTACTCTTTATAAATTAGGTCCAATACCATAGAAATAATATTTTTTAAAGAAATTTTCCAGTTGTCTTGTACATGTATTTAAAAATTAAGACCAAACCAGAAGTACCTCTTTTTTTTAATAAATTTATTTACAACATGGATGGAAGACAGGTCTTTGAATATGCAGAGGCTTTGGGTCAACCCCCCCCCCCCCCCCCAACTTCCACCTTGCATCAACTTAGCAGGTTTGATGGTCCTTACCTTCAGAGTTTGCAAGATATGATCTGGACCCAATTAGTCAATGTAAAGCCATAAAATTCCAAAATGAGGTCACTGTGACCTACTTTTAGGTTGTGAAACCTCTTATCTGTCAAGATGCCTCAACTATCAAGGTTTGATGATCCTAGTATTACACTATGCAAGATATCATTTCAATACAATTTTTTATAGCCAGAAAAATTCAAAACAGACACCATAACCCATTTTGGGGTCATGACACATCTTACTCAGGATGCAACTGACAACTGACAAGATTGATGGTCATAGGCATCACAGATTGAAAAATATGAGCCAGACAAGAAAAAGCTTTCAGAAGGTTAAACATACTGACGAATTTTATCATACATAATACAAGAAAAAAAAAAGACTCACGTTAGATAGAGTCAGAGGAAAAAGTAGCTGAATCTTTTCCTCTAGAAAAAGTGTCTATACCTGTGCTAATTGTTTGACTGGAAAAGCCTGTTTTAATGCCATCCAGTCAAGTATTATCTAAACATAACTGCATTACTTATTTACATTGATTCTGTTTGGGGGGGGGGGGGGGGGGGGGATTGGGTGACCCAAAAAAATTTAATTTTATTTCATAGGTGTGGGACTAAGAATTTGTGTTGTTTCACTAATTCTTACTGGAAAAACCCTGTAAATTAATGAAATGTCTCTCCAAGTTTCTTACAAATGCACAAGTTATCATTCAATCTTTCAATCTCTTCACCTTTGCTTCTTGGAGTCAATCTGAGATTGCAACCTTTTCTTCTTGTCCTTCAACTGAGAGAGATTTTTCTAGAAAGGAAACAATTTTGAATTCATCATAAAGGGTTATTAATAAATGGCAGCTACATAATTTTACTTTTAATGAATATCTAAAACCTCAGCTAATGGTCAAATACTGATTGATATCACACCTTCTGTTCTCGGAGTTTGTTCATTTTCGTGTCCAGTTCCTGCGATTCTTGCTGTAGCCTAGTGTATGTAGCCTCTTTCTCTCTCCTCTGTTCTTGACAACTCTGTAATTCAATATGTATCATTTAATATGCATAACTGTGATCTAACTTATGAATTTCTGTTCCTTTTTTCATTACCGGTATACAGCTGAACTTTGATATCTCAAACACAGATATCTTGAATACCACGGATATGTTGAAGTGATTAGGAAGTCCTAACCACTTATTTCTTAAGTTTTTACCCTGGATATCTTGACCCTCGGATATGTCGAAGTTTTTTCTTGGTCCAAATGAGTTCGAGATAATGAGGTTTGACTGTAATAGCTTTTCTTTTGATAGAAATCTAAACTTGTCATTACGGGAAATCCACAAATTTACATCCGATTTTGTATTTGACCAGTCCAAGAGTTTTTTTTCTCATATGCCTAACCTCAATTTAAAATATTTTAAAACACTGATCTCATTGCCAAAGTCTTGCTGTAATATTACCTCTTGTTTTGAAACTTACCCTGATTTTTATAGTTCTTAGTCCTGAAGTGATACTTTGATCTTTGTTCTCGACTCAGAGATACACATACTGTTTTGATACTTACCTTGATTTCATTGTTGAGTTCTTGGATTCTGGAGGCATCCACTGAAGCAGACATCCACTGGGGATCCCTGTACAAGTCAAAGTATGATCCAGTTACGTACAGTATTATTACTTCATGAAAGATTGAGGTTTTTCCCCCCCTTTATTAAATACACTCTTACTCACCAATCCCTTAATTATAGATCGATGCATAACCAAATTTATTAACAATGTTTTTCAACCTTTTAAAACATCATACTTAAAAATTATTTTTTAATGAAAGGTTCATAGGTAATTCTCATTTAAGACATTTTTTTTATCTATTTGATGAATGAGTATGTGAATGAAAGATTGAAACCCATGCAATTTTATTTCCCCTATAAAAATTCCGGTGATGTACTAACAAGTAATAAACATCAACAAGTGTACCTGATTTAACAAGAGATGTTTGTGAAACACTTATGCAACCCCCCCCCCCCCCTTTTCAAATATCTGGAATTTTTCTTAAGTCCAAGGGGCATAACTCTGTCAAAAATTTGCACGATTGTACCCAAAACATAACTTGAACTAGTTATTTTTATGATAAAACTGTATACCACATTGCATTTCAATATGTGCAACCTCTGCAAAGAAAATAAACGGAAACTGCAAATAATTGGAACTTTCCCAAGTCCAAGGGGCATAACTATGTCAAAAATTGCTCAATCATACCCAAAACAGAAGACTAAAATTCATTTCAGTATGTGCAACCTCTGCAAAGAAAACGAAAGGAAACTGTTGGTGGACCGACAGACAGCAGCAAAGCAATATGCCCTCCCTTCTTTGAAGGGGGGCATAATTAGTGTAAATTTAATTACATATCAGTAATGATAAAGCTAGTACCTGATTTTGGTGCTCCTGGAAGACACAGATTTGTCATACTTTGATACTCGACAAGTGTACTGCAAACATATATACATGGACATGCTTAAGACAAATTAATCAACACAATTCTTCAATTCAACCAAAACAAAAATGCAGCGAGATGAAGTAATTCTTATCAGTCTACTTTTAATTATAATGGAAACACATGTACTTTTAAACAGAACATCAACATTATTTTATCAATACACATGCATATGGTGCAAATGTTCTGGTGATATGAACAAACGTAGTCTACAAACCTGGTACTCATCAGTGTAGAAAGTTCTCAGTTCAGGACATTTTCTTTTGATGTCCTCCACAAGATCTTTTGTGCGTCGGCTTCCTACAGGGATGTTGTGAATATGGTACTGAGCACAAAGATAGCGTCTTACTCCATCCGCACAAACGATGTAATCAGTCAGGTAGTTCACAAAGCCAAACTGACTGTCAATATGAAAATAAGAATGATTAATTTGACAAAATCCCTATACGTGTACTTGATTCAAACCATATATATATAGTATTGTGCCATATATTTATGAACAAACGTAAAAATAGCGTCATGATTTTGAAAGAATCATAAAAAAATACAAGGTTTCTCACAATTACACAATCTTACCATGCATGTGTCTTACCTCTATAAATAGCTAAGAATTTCCACTATTGATCTATGACGTCATTTGTTAAATATGACGTCAGCTTAAAATGAAAAGGTCTCGTGAAGGCAAAGAATTTTCTACACCCGTGAAACAAATGATTGTTGACAAATATCTGTCAGGGCAAAAATATGCTACTATTGGCCGTGAATTGAACATTCCTCGGAACAGTGTGTATTCAATTGTACAGCGCTATTTAGCTAGAGGTTCGGTGGAAAAGGCCCCAAGAAGTGGCAGAAAACAAAAAATGGACGACCGTGAAACTAGGAAACTTTTAAGAGTCGTAAAAACCAAACGTACTGTTCCGTTAGCTGGTACAGTATTACGGATATTATCACTCAGGGTAGGAATTCTCCTGTTTCACAGAAAACAGTCAAGAGACAATTGTATGAAAATTATTTTCATAGGAGGATTGTAAGAAAGAAGATCCGTATTTGCAACGAGAACCGTAAAAAACGTGTGGCATGGGCAAGAGGAAAGAGTTTGTGGAGAGTTGAAGGAGAATGGGATAGAGTGATATTTACAGATGAATGTAAGGTAGTAATAGGAGAAAGCAACCGTGTGTATGTCTGGAGACAACCGGGTGAAGATTGGATGCCTGAGTGTTTATGCCCTGGTCCGCCGGTCAGAGTAAGTTTGATGATTTGGGCAAGCATAACATGGAATGGTGTGGGGACAATATGTGTCATAGATGGTAATATCAATGCACAAAAATACGTTGTAGCTCGGTATTTTCCAACAAACAATTTTATTTTTCAAGATGACAATGCGCCCATTCATCAGGCCCGGATTGTTACTGAATTTAAGCAGAGAAATGCCATCAACACGATGACATGGCCAGCACAATCCCGATTGTAATATTATAGACAAGAGGCCCAGGGGCCACATAGCTCACCTGAGCACTGTGGCTAGGAAAAAAGGAAAAATCAGTTTAGTATTGAAAAGCTTAAATGCGTAAGTGGTCCCAACCTACCCCTAAAAGGGAGTGGGGGGTTGTGATTTGAACAAAATTAAATCTACACTAAGGATGCTTACATAATTTTTTGACTAACTGTGACTTTTTTCTCTACAAGTTTGAACTTTAATTGTGACCCCACCCTACCCCTGGAGGTCATGATTTAAACAAACTTGAATCTAAACTATCTGAGGATGCTTTCATATAAGTATGACAAACCGTGGCATTGCTGTTCTTGAGAGGATTTTTCCTATATATTCCTATGTAAAACTTTGATCTTTCATTGTGGCCCCACCCTACCCCCGGGGATCATGATTTGAACAAACTTGAATCTACACCACCTGAGGATGCTTCCATATAAATATCACCAATCATAGCTTTGCTGTTCTTGAGAAGAAGATTTTTGAAGATTTTTCCTATATATTCCTATGTAAAACTTTGATCGTTCAATGTGGCCCCACCCTACTTCCGGGGGTCATGATTTGAACAAACTTGAATCTACACCACCTGAAGATGCTTCCAAATAAATATGACCAATCATAGTTTTGCTGTTCTTGAGAAGAAGATTTTTGAAGATTTTTCCTATATATTCCTATGTAAAACTTTGATCGCCCATTGTAGCCCCACCCTGCCCCCGGGGGTCATGATTTGAACAAATTTGAATCTACACTACCTGACAATAATTCCACATGAGTTTCATCTTTCCTGGCCCATTGGTTCTTGAGGAGAAGATTTTTCAATAACGCCATTAATTTTTTGCTATTTCGTAATTATCTCCCCTTTGAGGAGGGCATAGCCCTTCATTTGAACAAACTTGAATCCCCTTCACCCAAGGATACCTTGTGCCAAGTTTGATTGAAATTGGCCCAGTAGTTCTGGAGAAGAAGATGAAAATGTGACAACGACAATGCCGACGACAGACAACGGACAAATTTGGATCAGAAAAGCTCAATTGAGCCTTTGGCTCAGGTGAGCTAAAAACTGTTGGTTATTATTAAAAAATAAATTGAAGCAACGAATTTTAAATATAAACAATGCTGCCGACCTGGAACGTGAAATCCGTCATATTAGGACAGCCATCCCAACAACATACATAGAAAACTTGTATCGTTCAATTCCTAGACGCCTGCTTAAAGTAGTCAGTGCCAAGGGCAATATTACAAAATATTAAGGTAAGTTTTATTATTTATTATCAAAATTTAGTGTATTATACATGGCTATAACATTCCCTGTAACTCATCTGTTTACGTCCGTTTACGTGACGTCACCGACGTTTGTTCATAAATATATGGCACAATACTGTAGCTTATCAATCAGTTCACAGATTGTGTTGGACCTGCTTAAAACACGAAAGATTTTTCAATTGTTATAATGCAAAAATTTGCACTGCCATTTTGTTCAGCTTGAACTTTACTAAATAAGTACATTTAGCATATTTTTAAAACAATTAAAGCCTCTCATGACTAAATATAGTAATCTGTGCACAACTATGCCATGTCATGAACAAAACTACCAGTACTTCTCTCAAGAGTACAGACCTCCAACAGTTCTGTAGTTCTCCAAATGCACAAGTCGAACAGTAATAGAGGTCAAGATATTTCTTTCTTATGTCATACTATGTCATAGGAATGGATGTACTACCCTTATGCAATTTTAATAGAATTGAGAAAAAATCCTGCATTTGAGTCTTTCCATTGATGCCTCTGAAAAACTGATTTTTTTTTTTACCCAAGGGATTTAAGCCTTATCCAAAATTTCTTCAAATATGATTGACATTCCCTTCTTTATCTTAAATTGCCCTATGACATTGTTTGCATTTCAAATAAAACCTTCAACATCCCTTTGAGACATTTTGCCAACAAGAGGCCTATATGGGTCACAATACTCAATGAGTCACCTTTGTCCTGCTGTTCAACTTCAGAAAATTTTTAAAAGATTTTTCCCCTCTTTATTAACCATGAAAAATTCTGACTTCATATTGTGGCCCCTATCTACCCTCAAGATTTACAATTTCATCAAACTTTAATTCACACATTACCATGCTTGAATAACGATATGACTAACAGTGCCCGCTTGTTGTTCTATTGATTCAGAATAAGATTTTTTTGTGATTATTTTCCTGTATACTTGAACGATTTAAAATTTGATCTTTGATGTAAACCTTCTCCTTACCCCCAGGGTCCATAATTTGAAGGGAAAAAAAGGTGAATCTCACAGCTGAAGAATTTTGCTACTCGTGTAAAATATTTGTTGCTGCCTAAGTCCTAATCAAACTCTGATCCCCTGTTGTATCCCCATCCTACCCCCTGGGGCCTTGATCTAAATAAACTTAAATCTGCACCATCAGATGATGCTTTTTTAAGGAGGCTGGGGGGTCAACAAATTAACCACCAGATTTAACTTAATTTTTTAGATATGACATCTTAAGCTGTCGTTTTTCATTTGGCAAAGAAAAATTTCAAAAATTTTAGTTTTAAAATTTGATCATTTTCTATATCTTTATATGGAGCTCTTCTTCTAAAGGAGATCAATATAGTCTAAAAATGGCCACAACCCCCCAGCCTCTTTAAAGCTCGTTTAAAGATTTTCCCTGTATATTACCATGTTAAACTTCGATACCTATTGTGGCCTCATCCATCTGCGGGGGGATGGGGGGGGTGGGGGGGGTGGGGGGGAGTATGATCATGATTTGAACAAAAGAAAGATATTCAGTAATGCCCAATATCTGCCCCCCCCCCCCCCCCCCCCATCAAACTTTGATGGGAAATCTTTGATTATGTTCAAACCAGAATATATGCAAGCTTCAAAGCAATAAATATTTTCAACCATTGTGACATCATAAATTTGTCCCAAAAAAAATGACATCAATTTTAGCATTTCAATTGAAAGAAAATAATGCACTTTACATTTATAAATTGATTAGAAAATAGGAAGTGCAGGTCTGCTCAGACTCTATCTTTTAATATATTGTGTAAAATGATATCAATGAAATATGTGAAAATAGTTCCTGACAAGTGTGCGCTAAGGTGAGCTACAAACGGAGGAAAAGAAAAAGCAATTACATGTATCTTTCATAGAAGGAGTCAAAAACAAATCTTTTTTTTTCCTCGCCTAAATCAAACTAATTTTTTTTTTAGATATTCTTGAGAAAATTAACTTTCTTCCATCTGTCTTGGAGTAATTAAGGTAAAGTTTATAGATGAGCAAAACATAATTACCATCCACACACAAAAGTACCCCTCAAGAAATTTTCATGGAAAAGTTATGTACTGTTGTTGTAAGTTTTATGTGTTTATGAATAACACTTTTACAGAGTTAATAATTGTATATATAGTACATGTAATTAGAATTTTTATATATATATAGTGCGTGTTCAACCAATGAAAATCCATAGAGTCTAGCGCGCACTAAGTTGTGCTTCATTCGATCACAGGAAATTTTGCTCAATGTGAAAGAGGGATTGCTGCATTAATTAAAAGACATGATCTTTACTGTCAGTCAGACAGTGACAATTTATATTCATCTTTTCAATGCATTTTTATTAGCACTGGAGATACTCTCAGCAAGTGCAAGAGTCTCCATATTTCATAAGAATACTTTCCTCTTTTCAATATTCACATACAATATGGACTCATAGTTTCCCAGTCCTTTTTAATTTTCAAGTGAATGCACAATATTCTGTCCTGATTTCATCACAGAAAGTTCACTTTCTAATACATCGGTCATTTCTCCTATACATTTTCATTCCGAGTAATACTTTTTTTGTCCTCATCTTTCTCAAAGAGCAAGGGATATTCATTTGATTCAGAATCTGTCTGCCTGTCAGTCCATCCGTTTTTCTAACATTTTTTCCGTCTATAATACTTTTTTTTTTAATCTCTGAAAGTTCCAAAGCTTTTGCAATGAAATTTTATATCATGATAGCTCCCTGTAACTTGAAGAAGACACTACTGATTTTGAGGTCAAAAGGTCAAGGTCACAAGTACGTTATAAATTGACACTTACGTTTCCAGATGACATCTCTGAAAGTTGTTTAGCTTTTGCAATGAAATGATTTCATTTAACTCTCTTTGACTTAAAGAATAGCCCTATAGATTTTGAGGTCAAAAGGTCAAGGTCACAAATTTACAGAGTTCATAACATGATTTCAAGATAATTTTCTTCTCTTTTTTTTTTTTGAGCTTTTGAAATGAAATTTAAAATGATGATTTTTTTCTAACTTAAGAAAGACCATGCACTGCTGATTTCGAGATCAAATGGTTATAGGACAGCTAGATCACAAATTCACATAGTGCTATGAAATGGTACACTTCTTTTCAGATGATATCTCTGAAATGCTAAAGCTTTTGAAAGACAAAGATAAAGATAACAAGCAAATTATTTTGTATTAAATGGTTTCCATATGATAAGTCTAAAACTTTCGTCTTGGAATCTGATTGGATAAAAATCTGTTTCTAGAAGTTACAATAGAAAAATATAGTAATGTTTTGTGGAAAATAAAGTGTAAACAAATCTTATTCATTTGCTGTAATATTTAAACATTGGAATTAAATTTTTTAACCCACTCATTTTTAAATGTTCTCTGCCCAAGATTAGTACATACCACTTCATGGTGTGAGTCGAATTTTCCAGTTGGTGAGCAGTTTTAATTGACAATTTTTTTTGGAGATAAAAAAAAGAAGGCATGTCATACATGGTTGTTTAGATAAATAACTGTAGAAGACAATGGAAATAAACAGTTAGTTTGCTAGTGCATTTCTCTGAAAGTGTAAATGACTGCGATTCCGGGGAGGGGGGGGGGGGGGTTTACTCAGTGTAATTCGGAGTTAGATATAGTGTGTTATTATTATACTATGGGTTGAAAAATTTATTACAGAAACAAGTGCCTGTGATCTTAACACTCCAGAACTAACTAGACAGACAGTAATCCAATGATAACTAATTTGTTGCATAACAGGTTTAATAGACAACTCAGTGATTAAATCTCTTCAGTAGAAATGGTTTCCTGATTCAGTATATAAACAATATGATCCAATTGATTCTGAGGTACATTTCATAGGGTCAAAGATCATTGCCAAGGTCACAAACCTATATTGTTACAAATTGTTTCCAGATAACATCTAAATTTTAATATGGGGATACAAATTCCTTGAATTAGCTTATTTTAACTGCATCAGCAGTTTCAGGTTAAACTTTTGTAACCCAGCCCACACAAGTTATATTCTAATGCTGTTTTTCATTTTATAGCTTCCTCTTCCATTACGGTAATTATCATGTCAGCATCTCTTTATTTTGGTTTACTGAAACATAGTTTTACCTTAAGCTGTGATTTAAAAAAATCTGCCATCTTGTCTTGCTTTGAAATTTCTCTGACTTCTTTTAAGAAAATTTCAATTATTGAGCTGGCCCGAAGACCATAAACTGAGAACAGACTTCAGTAAAAATTTCAAATCAATATAATTTTTAAATAATTTTGATAATGAAACAAAATTTTCAACATGTGTTTGAGTTTGTGTGTTAAAAAAATCTGTAAGTTTTTATGCACATGTGTTAAATGGAACTCAAGATATAAAAAAATCAAAATTTTGACTTAAGTCTATTCTCAGTTTATGGTCTTGAGGCCTGGTGTGGCTACAGAATGTCTCTATTCAGATTTATTTCATGTTCTAAAGATATTAAAGTCAAGCATTAACTTAATTATCCTATATAATAAATGGCAATTTTTGTCTCCTGTTCAATGCATCCATTTCAAATTTATAGATCAACAATTGAAATAAATTAAATGTTTTCTTTCTTTTTTTTTTTCTTTCAATCTTCTATGCTATTAAAAACTTAATTTCCATCATACACAACCTACAAACCAAATAAAAATGCCAAAAACTTTTAAAATATAGGAATAATTGACACTAAGACTTGTGCAAACGAATTCTGGCATGGTTGTGACGTTCTCAATTTTTTTTTACCACTTAATTTCTAGAACATTATTGAGCAATCTTACAAAGTATCTGTGAGGGTTGTTCGGAAAGTTCATGGACTATGCCAATTTCCGTTATACTATCTTCAAGAAATTTAAAATGAGCACATTATCATATGTAAAAATATTTATATTGTTTAAATGTGAAGTTTCATTCCATTTGTTTTAATAGAATTCCTGTTATTTAATTTTAAAATCAACACGTTTTGTAACTACGGAGCAAACTCAACAACACTGTAACGTCAAAAACATACCGACACGAGGTTCTCAAAAATACTATCCCTGTACATTTCACACAGTATTGCCCAATACCAGTGCACTCATTTAAAACGTTTCTCTATCACTGGAAATCTATTTTGCTAACAATTGTTTCAGTAGCATCATTTTGTTTGTCAATGGTATATTTTCTTTTTGTACTGCATAAGTGTGCTTTCACAAGATCAGCGTCTGTGAAGCGCCAAATTCTTAGCATGACGTTACTAGCTTTTCAACGTTTTTGATAAGATTTTTACGGATAATCCGTTTTCTCACAGATCACCATCGTCTAAGCAAGCAGAGTAGTCTATCATTCAAATACCGCTTGTACCATTTACATACACATGCATGGCTTGCTTTTGACGAATTTCCTACTTCCTCCAGAATTTTCAGAGTTTTTTTCTGGAGTTTTCTTAAGTACAACACAAAATTGTATGGTTAACTGCTGCTCCGTGACGTTCAACGACGTCATCTTTTTTGCCTGTTTCAATGAGGACTGCCTATCTTCTGAAACTGATTTCTTTTCAGCGAAACAAAATATTAAGTCATAACTATGAAAAAATTCTTAATTTGAACGAGTTGAATTTTTTTCCATTTTTGTGTCATTTTACAGAAAATATGACTTCAGACATTATCTAGTGTCTTGAATGTAAATTACAAAATTTTGACCTGCTCCGTGGTCCGTTTTTTGCATTTGTAAAGTCTAAATTAGTTTGAAATAAATCACGATATTTAAAAAATTTTCATACACATCATTTGAATTTACTGTTGAAATATTTCTTCCAAATTTGGATATAATTTGACGTTAAGTAAAAAAGCTTTGACGGTAGTCCACGAACTTTCCGAACAACCCTCGTATTTTCATGATTTACACAAAAAATATTGTTTGTTAAATAATGTAGCAAATGGTCTTTATCTGTGATTGACGTTAATGAAAATCACCTTCATAATAAATGAGAAATGAACTTACTGCAACAAAGGTGAGAAGAAGGAGACAGAGGAATGAAAATAGAACATAATTAATCTCTAAATTACTCTAAACTAATTAGTACAGTTGAACTTATGTATCTGGTACATCACCTGTGGATATCTCCATATAAGTGGGAGGTTCAGAATTTTATCATTTGCTTGAGTTTTAACTTCAATATCTCAAACCTTTTATCAATGGACTCTTCAAGATATCCAAGTTCCACAGAGTGTCATGAATATTTTTTGATTGACAAAGAACAAGTTGTGAAGACCTGTAATATAATTTTTTTTTTACCTATAACGAGAGATATTGTGTCTAGCATTGAAGGCTGCCAGTTGTTGAGGAGGCACTTTCAAAGCATTAACCCTAAGGTTCTGTTTATCTCGGACTTCCCTCATAAACACATTATAATCTTCTGTATTCTCGAAAATGAAGGCCCTCATGTCATTAGCACTGATATGCATCTCTATGAACTTTGCTACTGCAGGAGATGTTGGATTTACCTGCAATATAAATAGCAAAAAGTTAAGCCAAACATAATGATAACCTTTCAAATGACATTTTGATTTTATCCGAAAATTACTATCATCACCTGTCAATGAAATGCCAAAGATTTTTCATTAGAATTATTAAATGTCAAGTCTGGTCTTCATGTACCCAAAATGTCCTTCAAGAGGCCCATGGGCCTTGATAGTCACCTGAGTGTCATATATTAACCTTTTCTGACTCACTGCTGATTATAACAACCACTCATAGTGAGCTCAGAAAACAATACCCCCTGCTACATTTCATATTTGCCTTCTCAGACTATGACCTTAGTAATTGGGCATTTCCATACAAATGAGCTTATTAATATGTATGAGGAAGGCCTGTTACACAAAGAACATCTACATTTGAACTCATTTTAGAATATATATGCTTATTTTATTTAACTAGAACTGTCCAAAATGGATAAATACCTCCCGCTGGGTTTTTCAGAAAAGGTGCTAAATCACTAAACATGTTTTATGAATCTAAGAGGTGTTCACAATTTGTTTAAACATTTAGAAAGAAAATTAAATTGATCATTATATTTTTTTAATGAATGATGAAATAAAGTGCAGCCTAATAAAACATAAATAATAATAGTTATTATTTTATTGTTTTCTAATTAAATTTAATAATCAATTAGCTATATTCATAATTATCATCGTTTAACTATATTGTTTTTTATTAGATTGAAAAAATAAATTGCGTTTGTCATCTTTGTGAGACATTACACTCTGAAATTAATTTGTTGAAGAAGAATATAAATATCATATTATACAAAATCAAATTAATCTTGATAACTTTATACTAAATTCATTTTAAAAATAAAATGCTGGTCATCCAGTAACTACTTATTTTAATTTGACAGCTAGACTATATATATTACAATTAAGTGAGTTAGAGAACAGAAATCTTTAGTTCTTTTGTCCAATTCCCAGGAGATATAGATATAACATGCTAGATCAGAGATTGCTCTAACAGCTTCCCACTCTGAACTCATTAATTTTCAACTGGATGCATATCAACTAACTACTTCCAAGAGACAAATGGATTTACACTATCTGCTGTGTTATGCACTGTGAGTCTGCAGTACAATGGAAAATTCATGTATATGTCATTCTGTCTAAAACAAATATTTTTTTTTTTATTTGTTGCAAAGTTTTATACCATGAAAAAAAAGAACTGTGTAATCTTGATGCAACTTTTTTTTAATAAGGTTACTGCATGACTCTTACATTTGAATGGATTATCTACCAAAAACTATTTTTCTTCATACTTGGTGATTTTTTTAGTTTTAATGAGTAGTTCACATTTTTATACAGATGTACCAACTGCCCTACATGAACTCAAAATGACTAAGTTAATAAAAATGAAAAACAAGATGTGTTTGTGAAACACTGATGCCCCCGTATGGCAGCTTATGGCGAAGGTTAAAGTTTCTTCAAATGCAAGTCAAAATCCAGGCCAAAAGATAAAAAATGTTGATACCTAAAGAAAGGTCTTGTCTTGAGGAATACACCTGTGAAATTTGAAAGACCTAGATACAACTGTTCAAAAGTTATGGCGAAGGTTAAAGTTTTTTAAATAAAAGTCAAACGTCAAGGTCAAGGTCAAAGTGGTTGGTATCCAAAGGAAGGTCTTGTCACAAGGATTACATATGTGAAGTTTGAAAGCCCTAGCATCAAGCATTCAAAAGTTATGGCCAAGGTTAAATTTTTTCAAAAGTAGGTCAAACTCCTAGGTCAAGGTCAAAAGGTCAAAGTGGTGGTTGGTATCCAAAGGAAAGTCTTGTCGCAAGGGTTACATATGTGAAGTATGAAAGCCCTAGCTCCAACCATTCAAAAGTTATGGCCAAGGTTAAATTTTTTCCAAAGTAGGTCAAACTCCTAGGTCAAGGTCAAAGGGTCAAAGTGGTTGATATCCAGAGGAAGGTCTTGTCACAAGGAATACACATGTGAAGTTTGAAAACCTAAGCACCAACAGTTCAAAAGTTATGGCCAAGATTAAAGTTTTTCAAAAGTAGGTCAAACTCCAAGGTCAAGGTCAAAAGGTCAAAGTTGTTGGTATCCAAAGGAAGGCCTTGTCACAAAGAATACACATGTGAAGTTTGAAACCCCAAGCACCAACTGTTCAGAAGTTATGGCCAAGGTTAAAGTCTCATAAAATTTTCCAAAAGTGGGTCAAACTCCAAGGTCAAAAGGTCAAATATGATGGTACCCAAAGAGAGGTCTTGTCACAAGGAATACACATGTGAAATATGAAAGTCATAGCTCCAACCAATCAAAAGTTATGGGCAAGGTTAAAGTTGACAACAGAAAGACAGACAAACGGACAAACAGACAAATGGACAAACAGATAAACAGACAAACAGACAGACAGGACAAAAACAATATACCCCCGGGATCTTTCGATTCGGGGGCATAAAAAAAACACCGTGAAATGCAGAAAAAATATCCAATATTGATGTAAATATCAGGTGTACACCTTCATATGATAAATAATGACTATATACAAATTTTCAGACAAATCCATGCAATAGTCTCTGAGAAATGGTGCGGACAGAATCAAGTCTACAGACAGATGGGACATGCTGATTCTAATATAGCCCCCTAAACTTCATTTGCGGGAGGTATAATTATAACTTTTACCAACCTGGAAAAGTAGATGGACCAAAAGAAGATGCATCATGAACAAACATAAAGGGTGAAAGATAATTTGTAGAAAGGACATACAAATGGCTCAGTTCTACTCATTTCTAGTAAACCAGATACCATCAAGAGGACCTGTAAACGTGTACCTATTTCAGAACATTGACAGACTGTACTTACTGACAGTAAAAGAGGCAAATGGACTTGCCCTTGGAATTTATCACGATTGTCCTTATACCACATGACTGCATCATAAGTTGGTTTGTGCCTGTTCCTCAGCATTTCAAGCTTACGGTTTTCGATATTCTGAATTTCCTTAAGTTCTTGTTGGAAACCTGTATATAAAATAGACTAATGTTAAAGGATATACAAATGAATCACTTTTTTTGTAGCCTTTTTAAATCAAATATGAATATCCAACTTTGATACAACTGAAACATCTCCACAAAATTGTAGTACTATATCTTGAAACATATTTTTTTTTAAAGACAGATCTGAATCCTGTTGTTTACTGAACTTTTACCAAGTTCGATGAAATCAAATCATAGCTTTATAATAAGTATCATTTTGAAAAATTTCCACTTTTTCTTTTTGGTAGTAGCTATGGCAACACTGATTTTAAAAAAATTATGAACTTTATACAGTGGAATAGCTCATAGGATATTGTTTTGATATCCATGGTTGTGATGCCACAATGGTTTTTTACATGAATTTGATCTCAAGTCAAATTTTATGGATTTTATGAAACAGATTAAAACATGAAATAGCTATGTGTGAAACATGTGATAGATAGCTATGTGTAAAACATCATGTGATAAAAATAATCTCCAATGGATTGTGGTAAGATATGATTTTTTATTCAACTGCATGGTTGTGTGTTTTCACCCCCTTCCCAAAGCTTGGGGATAAAAACACGAGATACACAACATGTTGGATAAAAAACCCATATCCAACCACAAATCATGGGAAATCCTTTATTTATTTATCTTAAAATTGTTTACATGTGTACCAAGTTTTAATTAAATCAGTTCAAACTGTGGGAGGTGTGGCATTTTAAAAAAATTGCACAGAAATTTCTAATTTTAGGACCATGGCAACACCTTTCATCAAAATCAAAACCCATTGAACAGAATCATGTATCTCAGTGTAGTCTAGGTTTTATGGGTGGGGTTTAATCCATCAAGTACCAGGTTTTATTAAAATTAGAAAAAAACTGTAGGCAGGGATTTTTTTACCCTTTGATTCCAGGGGCCGGGGCCGTCAAGTTTGGGAAAAATAGCGATATTTGGTTGAAATTGGGAAAGATATATGTATTTTCATACAAATAAATGGGGAAAACAAGCAAAGTCAAATATTTAATCATTTTTTAAAATTATTCATACTGGTAGTATGAAGCTGGCTATAATAAACCAGCTGTAGTGAATATGACATAATAGTAGCTGTTGAAGTTCAGAATGGTAAAGCCACAGGGGGAAGTTTCTAGTATGCTGGTCCCCAGAATCACGCGCTTGCGCATGAGCATTTATTTCCCATGCCGTTGCTATGCAGAATGTAAACAAACCGCCATTTTCCCCTCGCTTCAACAAAACGCATTCGATTGAGTGATTAGGGTTAGGGTATATTGTTTTAATATTGGAACTGTTTTATAAATCCACTCTTAAATCTTCCTGACTTTGGGCTAATTCATGTAATTTTTGCTTACAAAAGGCACTGCCAAGTGCCTTTTGTGACCCAAAACTTGCATGAATCAGCCTAATGTCGAACCGTGCCGATATACCATCTTTTAAGAGTAAAGCATTGTATGCGATCTACGGATTAGGGTTAGTGTATATATAGCTTGAATATTGTAACTGTTTTATATTCACCCATGCTCGCATCTATATCACTTTGGGCTTATTCATGTAATTTTTGCTTACAAAGAACCGGAAGAACAGGAAAGTTTTGCGAAACTTGGTCCAATGTTGAAACATGCCTGATATTGTGCGCTAAGTTTTGGCAAGTAATTGGTAAAAGCGACTTACCGTTTACTTAAGCTCGATATCCTAACCTTCTAATGTCCTTATTCAGAATATTTTTTCTTTCAAATCAATGGTGATGCACAATTCAATCAACCAATTACTAGCAGGGTTCTCCATGGGCCGTTTAACGTGGCAGCCCCGCCACAGTTAAAAAATCAGCGCCATAGTTCCGCCACAGTAAAAATATTAGCGCCACAGTAAGATCGTCGTTGTCAGTACGATAAATATATAAATTTGATAATCAAATAAACCTCTAAACCTCAAAATTACGTACCGTTTTCAGTTTCTAATGCTAAACTGTCAATTTACTCTAATTAGGGCCCATTGTTTGGCTTGCACAATCAATTATCTTCTAGACCTCGCTGGACACATGAAGCCGTTTTTTCACACTTCACGATAATTACAAAGGAAATTTTATATATCAATTAGTTCATGCTTAAATAGTTCTACAGTTAACCATGTCTCTAACATTGCACTCGCACTGTGAGTCAAAACATCATATGTGACCTATCAGAATTTCCTCTGTCCTTTAATAAACACTGTATGTGTATATTTATCTTTTGTAAACATTTTTTTTTAAATTAGGGTTAAATACAGTATTTATGATTAAATACTTAAAACCTGTTATTACTGATACTTTTCTTCAGATTCTACATGTATAAGCAAATATCTAATTATTCAGTACGTATGTGTGTTTCAGAGGGGTGGGTTCTTTTTCACAGTATACATATATTGTGAAAATATTTTAATTTTTCGTTTACACTATGTTAAATCGATATCAATTTATTTTTATTATTATTAAATTCAACAATCATTTTGTCAAATAATTAATGTTATTTGTATTTGAACTTAATATTGATTCAAAGGTGCTGTGTGTTTTTCAATTTATTTCGGGGTTTCTTCGCGAATTCGGTCGCGAAATGACCGCGAATATTAGTACTTCACGCAATTCTTGCGCCACAGTTAAATTTGAAATGATGGAGAACCCTGACTAGTAATTAGTTATCACTTGTTAAATCCCTGCATTTCTCACAAAAATCTCGCAATTTTAGTAGCATTTCACTTTGAGTCCTATCAGCTACTTCTTCATCAGTCTTCATTACGTCAAAACACAAGTGACGCACATCATGAATATTTATGAGATTACGTCAAAAACTGATCATGTGACCACATTCCTAAACAACGCAAAATGGAGTTTTATCTACTAAACAAGTACGTTATTTTACGAAACCTTTTAATTCTCATTTAAAAAACTGTGTTTAAAAACCAGTTTTTTTAAACCCAATTTTTCACAAGGAACACGATTTTTGATTCAATTTTGCGATTTGTGGCCTTTTTTTATCGATTTTGTTATATTATATTGTATTATTATATTGTACACCGCCTTCGGCGGCACCTATTTTAGCGCAATATTTATAGGGACCGGTATACTAGAAGTGTTCCATGTAAAAAGTTCTTTAAAAATATTGATAGTGGGTTTGTTCCAGATGAGTAGATAATCGGTATTGTTTGACCAATTTACAAGAATAAGAGCGACCCAACCCAGCCTGAAAATTACCGTCCTAGGCAAACTGGAGAAACTGACATAATGCATGTTTATTTATTAAATAACGATCCCGACTTAAATTTTAAACATCGATCCCGCTCTAAAAAGTACACATGCAAACATCCAAAGTATTCCGAATAACTTCTTGGAACTCCTCGGATGGCTCGTTCATCACACAGAGAAAACAGAAACACCTTTTTGTCATTCTTGAATATTTTTTTACTTTAATTATTTACAACTGACTTTTTTCATATTGGGAATTTTAAGGTAAAATTTTGGGAAAAACATGCACTTTTCAGCATTGGGAATGGGGCCGAATTTCGGCCCCAGAGAGACCCTAAAAAAATCCCTGGTAGGAGTAGAATTTTAAAAGAGTTAAAGAGAAATTTCTAGGTTTTCATCACCTTGAGATCACTGTTTGTTGAAATCAAAGACCATGCAAGCACCTTTTGACCAATGTAGCTAAAAAAGGTCTGCCAATACTGTGGCTTTACTGTGTGTACTTACAAGTATCAAAGAATCACAGCTGAAGAGGAAAGTTGCAGATGAATTTGCAAAACTTTTTTATTGTATTACATTTACAGAATTTTCAATTATGGTTGATTTCTAATACCGTCTCAGTTAAGTTTTGTTGAAATCAAAGCTACAGAGAAAGTAGCATTTGAAAAAAATTCACATCAATCAAACATCAAAAATCAATATAGACATTTCAGATTTGACATTTTGTTTTAATTTGTAACAGAGTTATCTCTCTTTGCTTGTATAGCATATGGATATAAAAAGAACTTAGTTCAGTAATCTATATAAGCACAGCTGCAATCCCAATAATTTTTTTTCTTTTGGGGGGGGGGGGGGGGGGGATACATGGATATAAAAATTTTGTTCAAGGGAGTTGTGATGTAAACAGCAAACTGTATCAAATGGAGCTGCTAAGCATGCTAAGTGTAAATTCTAATGTTTAAACAAATGCATAGTTGGGTGAACGCGACATGTACCAAGCATGTGTTGACAAATTTGACAATTAATTAACAGGATATTTATATACATGTTAACTCTACTGCTTTAGGCAGAAGTCTGCCACTTTAAGAAGATGGGCAAAAAAAGGCAAGCAAAATGCACAAAGCACACTAGTTTATGACAAATATGAAAATGATATATTAAATCTAAATTATAACAAAATTTTCTTTGATATTTCATATAAAATTTATGTATACTTAATGTAAAATCTCCACAATCTGCAACAATCTCACAAAAGATTGAAATTATTCATCTACAAAACAGCATACACATGCTAAAGAGGGCAATAATGATCATTTCTTCATACTACTTTTGCTTCCAGTCATCACAGGAAATCCAAATCCTTTTTAAAAAATACAAACTAAATCAAGAACTAAGACAACTTTACCAGAACACCTGACCCAAGGACCAGGAAATTCACAATTTTGGAATAGGTTCATCATAACTATGAACTTAGTTCATCTTCTAAATGTACAGGTCTTCTAAATGTACAGGGGGAGAGAAGGTTTTTGCATATTTTTTGCATTTTCACTATATGATCTATAGAGCCCCATCCTAACACCAGAGCCCATAACCTTGGGGCCATGAATTTCACAAACGATGACAGAAGAAAATAGATATCAATAGGTGATCTGAGCGACTCAGGTGACTTAAATGGAAAAATTACCATCTACTTGTCTTTTCAGGCCCTCAATTTCTCGCCGCACTCTGTCTCCATCTTGATTTAGCACTGTCATTCTCTGGTTCGTTCTTCTCATTTCATTGGTCACCTCCTCTAATTGGACCTGCAAAAATAAACCAATCAGAGGAGAATTCTCATTACTGTCATGTAAACACAATAATTTGCACTGCACTTTTTTACCTACATTTCCAAATTATATACTGGATTTTCCCCCTTTTTAATTTAAATGTGTTTTTATATTTTCTTAAGCTTGTTTATGAATATGTGTGTATCTAACACAATTTTCACCATGAGTAATATGACAGCTAGACAAGGAAATGCAGAAAAATGAATAAGTTGTCAAAAGACAACAAACTTGGCTCGTCTTCCAGGAAGGAAGCTACCTTGAAAATGAAAAGCATGCATTTTAAAAAAAGCTTATTAACTGGTAGACATACTTTTCCCTGCAGGCCTACACTTTATTAGCCACAAATATCCCTGGCAGTAGGCAATTTAGTTTCCGAAACACTGATATTCCAAGCCTTGTTTGGAACTTAAAAGGTGGACGAAGTAAGAAAAGTAGCGAGTAAAATATGTGTTTATTTAATGGATACATGTACCATGCTTCAGGTGAAGAATTTCATATTATGTGAAAAATACAACCCAAAATTGCTACAAAAAAGTGTAGATGTAAATCTTTTTTTTCAATTGGCAGATCTTCATCTCTCTGGTGTGAATGTCCAATTCTTATCTTTCCCAGAAGACAACAGCTTCATTTCGTATGCATAAGAGAAGGTACCAATAGATTCATAATAGTCTCAAGTGTGGTTTGTGAGTTTAATTTTTTCTTTTCATTGTATGAAGAGATCCACAAATTCATGTCCTCCACTGGTGTTAAAATTGTAATCAAGACAATTCTACACTATCAAATCCCCTCGACTAATAGGTTTTTTTTTTTCTAAAACCACAATAATTTGACTCCACGAAAATGAGTGATTTTACAGTATATCACTGAAAACAAGGTAAGTGCCACTTAAGTGCAAACTTTGGCAATATACAAAACTTGTAATCTAAAATCGGAAATCTTAAGTGCTTAGAATCTAGCGTATGAAAATAGTGCCACAGCACTAAAACAGGCCCGATAATCTGTAACCGATCTTTTTTGGTTAAGAATTTAAAACCAAGCTAAGTAAAAATAGGACCTTTTTTTATTTATTTAATCCATTAAGCATTGGCTTCAATTTGTGGACTACCCTGTTATTTTTTGGCCCACCTGAATGTTAGCAGTTTCCACAGATGTCTGCAGTTCCTCTTCTAAAGCCTCTACTTGTCTTTTAAGGTCCACGATTCTACAATGCCATAGTAAATAGAAGAACTTTATCTTCTTTGAAAATTATATGGGAATAGATTGAAACATGCATAAAATGATAATTTTTAAAATCTATCACATTTTTTTTAATTATAGTGACTTTTCATTATTCCATCCTGTGCATGGGAATTTAGGATTCACACTCATTTGAAAAAAAAAAAAAAAAAAAAAAAAACTTATTTAAGCTGATAACTATCACCTCCATCTTCCTAGCCATTTTTTTTTTTATTCCAGAGTGACTTTATCTGCCCTTTTATTCCTCATCTGCCCCATTATACAACTTGATAGCCCTAATGCACCTCTATTGGTCCAAAAGATATTTGAATTTACACTACACAAAGACATTTTCACATGAAGTTGACAATAAGAAGTCCTGTTTTTGGTATGATTTTTAACATAGTTTCTTTTAATATACATTATTATAAAGGACGGACCCAACCCCTTCTCTTTTTAAGTTGATTCTGTACTATGAATTTGTAAAGCCCTGTTTTACTGGCCAAGAAAATACCAATATGTTTAATTGCAAAAATTTAGATCTCTTTGCGACTCTTTCTCTAGCTGTCCTTGGGGTAATTGTTGAACGTGTTTGCTTCTTTATCACATGAAATGCCATTTGACAATTTGTAGTCTTGTAATTCTTAAGAGAAGATTTTTCTATAAACTTAAGATTGTTGTGGCCCTTTCACTAGAACAAACTGGAATGCTCTTGCACAAGCTTGCTTCTCAAGTGCTACAGTGTATCTATTCATTGAAGTGATTTCTGGAGAGGTCAAAATTCTAAAACAATCAAAGATAATATGTACATTTAGAAGAATCACTTCAAGAACACTTTTGAGTCAAGACTCATGACCCTGAAGCCTAACACAGGTGAATCTGTAAATATAATTCTATGATATTAGTAAGTGTTTGTGTACATTTATCATAAAATGTAACAAATTCAATACATTTACTTGAGAAGGATCACTAAATTTATAGACAAGTTTGAATATCAAAAGACTACCTAAATATCAATTAAAACCAAATTACATGGCTAACAAAACAATCTGTATTCATATTTGGTAAGTTGTGTCATTTTTATGCCCCTAATTAAAGATTTGGGGGTATATAAGTTTTTGATCTGTGGCCTGCCTGTTGGCCTTTCTGTTTGTCTGCAAAAACTTTAACCTTGCCCATAAATTTTGATTGGTTAGAGCTATGGCTTTCACATTTCATACATGTATTCCTTGTGTTAAAACTTTTCTTTCAGTACCAATATATTTGACCTCTTGACCTTGGAGTTTGACCCATTTTTGCAAAAATTTTACCAAATTTTAACCTTAGCATAACTTTTGAATTGTTGGTGTTTAGGTTTTCATATTTTGTATGTGTATTCCTTGTGAAAAAACCTTTCTTTGGGTATCAACACTTCTGACATCTTGACCTTGGACTTTGACCTACTTTTTAAAAAAAAAACTTTAACCTTGACCATAACTTCCGAATCATTAGTGCTAGGGCTTTCATATTTCACACTGTGTATTCCTTGTGATGATAGCTTCCTTTTGGGTACCTATGTTTTTTACCTATTGAACTTTAAGTTGACCAACTTTTGAAAAACTTAAACTTTGGTCAGCTGGGGACACAAGTGTTTTCCAAACACTTAAGTGTATTACAAACACTTCTTGCTCTCTGGTTGGAACTTTGGTCCATTTACAAAAACTAAATGCAAGGCTTATTCATCTTTTTTTACATTAGGCAAATGCAATTTACCTTCTTTTTCTACTTTCTTCTTCACTTTCTTTTTGTTTAAGAAGATCTTGAACCTCTTGAAACTGTAAGAAAAATATTCCTAAGCACATAAAAATTTATAAAATGGCCTGATGATGTATCAACATTGACCCTCATACGTAGCTGGTTGACTTGAAACAGCAACCACTTGCATGATACTAAGTGTACAATATTTAGTAAACTCTAAGCAAATTTCCTTTACCAGGTGACTCCTGCATTCCTTGGTGGCTTGAAATTTGATCTCTCAAAAGTCTCGATCTTTTGGTGTCAAGCCAAGTCTCATTTTTTTCCCTTTAATAAATCAAGCAAATACAGGTGACTCTCGATCTCTCGAAGTTCAAGGGACCGTAAGAAAAGTTCGAGAGATCGGGGGGTTCTCAAGATAGAAAGTGAATAAAATCCGGAATTTTCAGTTCCGATCATCATTGTTCTACTATTATACATACCGGAAGTATATGTTGATAATGTCATTACACGTTTTCATTCGTATTTTACAGGTAATTCACTTGATTTCAACAGCAATGATCGTGTTTTGAATAAATGAAATGATTAACTTAAGTTTCAATATTTATTTGTTCTTATTTCATGATAAAATGAAACCTGAATAGCAATTGTCGATTTTGCTAACCGCCGTGCGCGGGCTTGATCGGTCCTTCACAAGATTGCTCGTAATCGGTATACAATTCTTGAGATAGGATTTCTTGTGCAATGTTTGGCAAACTGGGATTATGTAAACTCTAATAATATTAAAGTCCATAATGGAAAATTACTGACACGTCCCTAAATTATTTTCTCAAAATTATCGTCTCGTCCAGTCAAAATAAGTTGTGAAGCGATTTGTTTATAATTTACCAATTAATTTTCTCAACACTCTGACGACTCACAGGTGTAGTATCATCTATGTAAATACCCAATTAACCCGTCCATCCCAGCCCCAGGCGTTCACTGTTATCCAGGTAAGTCCAAGCTGAATTAATTTTACGCTTGATCGACGTGTATACATGCGCAATCAAAACTTCGAGAGATAGAGAGTAAAAAACTATGAAATATGTGTAACGGGACCCAGGTCTTGGTTCGAGAGATAGAGAACTTCAAGAGATCGGGAGTTCGAGAGATCAGGAGTAAATTTGCTTAGTTATATAGAGGAAAAAAACGGGACCGGAGGTTCACTTCAAGAGATCGAGAACTTCGAGAGATCGGAGTTCGAGCCATCTCGAGTCACCTGTATATCTGACTCCATGTCTCCTATATCAAGAAGTGTTTTCCAGGTCATATATATATATATATATATATATATATATATATATATATATATATATATATATATATATATATATATATATATATATATCTTCTATAAAATGATCACTCAGAGTTTATAAAGGCAAAGAGACTCCAACACTTACTGTATACAGGGTTATTTTGCCCCGTGTTATTTTCACCCTTTCAAACTTGCAAACAATTTTGCACCTTTTTAAAATTCGCCCAGTCACAACTCTGTTTAAGAAATTATACTCAATTCGCCCCATTTCATATTCGCCCTCCTGTGAGTAGGAAAAAAGGGGCGAAAATAAAATGGGGGCAAAAATTTCCCTGTATGCAGTATCCGTTTATACATCATTAGTGATGGTCACAGCCACACACATTACACCAACTTAGGTCGGTCCTATCATTAAATTCAATTTTCATATTATCTATTTCTCCAAACTACTAGAAATAGTATAAACTGATTTAAGTGCTGGTTATAATTGGTAGATATATAATACAGGGGTCAAAGTGCAGTGATATTTTCTATACATTCCAATGCATGTGTTGAGTGTCTTTGCCACAAGTCACCAAAATGTCCAGGAAAGGGTACTAATTAGGTCAACTTTGTGTACACAAAGCCGCTTCACAATATCAAGGGTAAAATGCAATAGAATATGCATTACAGGATTGCAATCTCAGTTCTTCAGATCAAAAGTTTGGAGATTGAGAGTTTGATAAATCAAAAGTTAATTTTTGAAGCTACATACAAAATTGGGACTGGAGACTCACTTTGAGAGATCAAGAACTTTGAGAGATCAAAACCATCAAGAGTCAATTGTACAACAGTTTGCATCAATTGGATATTTTTACATAACACTTTATTTACAGATAAAACTTAGCTGATATTAGTCAAATTCTTGTTTAGATTGAAATTAAGCTTTTCAGATCTCAACAAGTTTAGACATATCAGTTACAAGATGTAAACCACAATCAATTTTTTTTTTTTTTTTTTTTTTGTAAAGGAAAAAAAAAAACAATGAAAAAAAAGTCTTTTATATCACAACTAATTTACTAGGCAATTTAATCGGGAACAAAGTAAAAACTCGGCCAAGTCTGTTTCTAATTGCTATACGACATCCATTTCTATGTTTTTTAAGACTCTAATGATCCATTTTTATGATTTTTAAGAACTCTTGTCTAATGATCTTTAATTTTTCACCTGATCTGTGTACTTTTCGATTTCTTTGCTGTTGCCATGGGCATCATTGGCATACTTTCTCAAAACATCTGTCTGAAAGAAGAAATTCAGAGATGTAGCATTACTGCTATATCACGTTCATATACATGTACTGGGTTGTTCACAAAACCCTGAAAGAAATGAGAAATCTGTCCTATGATTCCTTCAACAAATATTGCTTCGTGGTAATCTAGTGTCATAAATTATTGAAACTTCAGAATTAAACTAAGTAAATTTTCCCCAGTTTCAATGTCTGAAATTAATGAAAACATCAATACATTTCAAGGTTGTGTTTTTTACAAGGTTTTATAAAATATTTATTAAATACATGTAATTCCAAAAATTTAAAATCCTACCTCCCCCACTGAAAAATGTGGGTCAGAGTAGATCCAAAAACAAAATTTTTAATGATGGCCTAATTAAAAATAGCTGCTGTTTTAACACAGGCACTGACCTTGTATTAACATTTGTAGGGAACTTAAATTCACTCCAACATAAACATATATATAAAGTCACAAATGTCAGAACACATATGTATGTTTTCTAGTCCTTAGGTTTTAAATGACATACATGTATTATGGGTTTTGGAAAGGAATGTGAAGAATGAAGCAAAGAAAAAGACATGCAGGCATAGGAGATGGGCTAAGAAATCATTAAAAAAAAGTGACACTATGGAACTATCATAGCAATCAGGATATTTCACACCATTTATATCCAAAATCTTTATTATTAATTTAAGGATGTGATTCTAGTACATGTAATTAGTACATATTTCTTAACAAGAGGCCCAAGGGCCTTGAATCACTCTTCTGATAAACTGTACAACCTATCACTTCCATCTGAAGCCTCTAAGTATCCTGTATATTTAGATAAAGCCTTGAAATTCCAAAGGTAGGTCATCATGACCTACATTTTAGATGAAACACTCTGAGAACCCAAGATGATTCTAAGCCAATTAGTACCTGAGAGTAGGTCATCATGACCTACTTATCACTTTTCATTCTCTGAGGACCAAAGATGCATCAACTAAGTTTGATGATTCTAAGCCAATTAATACCTAAAATATTTTTAAAGTTATAACCATAAAATTTCAAAAGTAGGTCACAGTGACCTACTTTTCAGATGACAGACTTTGAGGACCAAAGATGCATCAACTGACAAAGATTGGTGATTCTAAGCCAATAAGTACCTAAAAATATTTAAATAAAGCAATAAATTTCAAAAGTAGGTCACTGTGACCTACTTTTTAATAAATATGTTTTATGGCCCCAAGATGCATCATGTTACAAGATTTAATAATTCTAAACCTCTCAGTATTCGAATTAATGACCTTAGTTGTTTTGAAAAAGATTAGCCATAAAATTCGAAAAATTGGTCAAGGTGACCTACTTTTTAGTTGACGTACTCCGAGGACCAAAGATATATCAACTGACAAAGTTTGATGATCATAGGCCTTAAATTGTTCAAAATATGCCTCTAAATCATTCTGAAAAAGAATGGCCGCACAATTTAAAAAGTAGGTCACCGTGACCTACTTTTGAGTTGACATGATATTAGGTCCTTAGATGCATCAACTACAAGATTTGATGATCCTAGTCCTTATAGTAAGCAAAATATCAACATTTTAATAAAATGTAATTTTTGGTCAACTTTGAAGTGACCTTGAGACCACGCCCTTTGCCCCAGGGCAATTCCCCATGCAAACTTTAATCTACAACATATCCTCATCCTTTTGTGTAAGTTTGGTGATAATCTGCCCTGTGGTTCTTGAGAAGAAGATTTTTTAGCAACCAGTAGTTTTGTTTCTATTTTCCTAATTATCTCCCCTTGTTTAAGGGTCACAACCCTAGTTTTAGTATAATCGGAAGCCCTTGGGCCAAGGATACCCTGTGACAAATTTGACAATAAGTGGCCAAGGTGTTCTTGAGTTATGGCCCATATTCTAAAAAGTTTACGCACACCGCACGCCGCACACCGCACAAATGGCCATAGCATTAGCTCTTTGAGCCTTTGGCTCAGAAGAGCTAAAAATCAATACTGGCGAGACTTTTTCAACATCAGATGTTGCATCTGGTAGAACGACACCATAGCTCTACCATTCAAATTACTGTTTGAAGGTTTTTCATGTAATCATATTCAAAAACATTACAAATCATCAATCAACTTTACTAAACATAACCAAATAAATTACGTGGAGTTACATTCATTTCTATTAAAGATATTAGCTCAGTCTACAAAATTTTGAGACAACCCTTGTAAATGGTAACATTCATAAGCTTAGTAAATGCACCTTAGATTTCATCTGTGCATCCATTTCCTCTTTCTTTTTCCTCAGGGCATCTATTTTTCTGTCCAGAGGGTGAAGCTTTGACTTGGCTGCCTTCAACTCCTCCACTTTCTTATCTCTGTGCATTTTTAGTTTATCATGCTCTTGTCTGTGCATCTCGTACTCCTGAAAAACATTTATTTTACATTCTTACAGACCCTGAAGCGTGCTACTACCCCACACGCACGCTGCACGAACGGTACACGCTCGCTACACGGTTTGCACGAAACGCTGCACGGTTTACACGAAACGCTACACGGTTTGCATGAAACGCTACACGGTTTACACGAAACGCTTTGCACGAAAGGCTGCACGGTTTACACGAAAGCCTGCACGAAATGCTTTGTACACGTTTCTCACACGCTTTGTACACGATTCTCGCACGCTTTGGCCTCGATCTGGATTTTCTATTCGGAATCGCTCGGACTTTATCTAAGTTATCACAGATTAATCCAAGATTAGTTAAGAATTGCAATCATTCAGATTAATTTAAGAGTAAAACTCGCTACACCAGTGCTATATTCACGGATAAAATACTCAATGTTCACTTGTAATTAATTAATAGTTGTCACTGAGTATGTGACCCACCTGGTGAAATGCCTATCATCATCAATGTACAAATCTTTTTCACTAGACTCTAAATTACGCACTGAAAAAATAATTATATTTGTAATTCATAATCTTTTACAGCATTCAATGATTTTACAATTTTAGTTTGATATTAAAAAGTCGTTTTATTACTGACAAATAAACTCAGTTATTGGTGTGGATAAAAAATGATTAAATTGCGTATGATTTCTGTAAACGGATTGATTTTCTTTCCCTTTCTTTTTTTAATTTAATTATTGATTGATTTATTCATTTTTTTTTTTTGATGTAGTAAATAAATGATTTCATTTTTATTAAATTAGGATCTCTTTATAATTTGCAAACTTTAAAAGGTAAAAAACTTTAAGGTAATATGTACACTGCATCACTTACATGTGTAAGAACATTATGCAGGAAAGGGGGTGGGGTAGATTACCGAGATCTTACTTCTGTACACTGCTAAATAAAACGGGCACTTGTTTCAGTAAGTATACCATTTATAAAAAAAATATAGAAACAAATGCCCCTTCTAAGAAAAAAAAGGATATCCATATCTCCAGCGAGAACCGATACATGTAATTATTTAAATGCACTTTATTCAGAATGGTAAATGTATAGTTTCATTACAGAATTAAACTTTGATTTATCATTTAAATTTAATAAAAAGTCGGGTGGGAGGGGGGGGGGGTAGGTATTGTAATTCTTTAGTTCTCTTTTGAGGCATTTTGTTTATCAAATAAAAATAATATACCCACCTCCTTGTAAAATTATTGACTTCAATTCCCGTCTAGACAAAAAAAATATATCAATAATTATGTAATCAGTAGTCACGGCTCTTAACAATACATTCAATATAGATGTATACATGACCAATGAAAGCTAAAAATTATGCTCAAGAACTGCATGATTAATAAAACAACTACTATATAATTATTCAGGATTTATTTCTTTATAATATTTTATTCACGAATAGACTGGCAAATTAATTCGCAGTTTACAGATCATCGGATAAATTTAAGAAATAAAATGCATGGGTATTTATTTGTACTTATTAAATACTAATAAAACAATTTAATTTCACGAATCAAAAATCAATCGTTATTGTCGGTTGTCATCTTAGCCATGATTGACAAGAGCTATTACATGTAGCAGAAAACGTTTTCAGTTCCCGGCACGCGGAGTCCGTGATCGTTGTTGTAAATGACCTTGATCACAGTCATAAGAAGAGTGTTGGATGTGTAAAGAAGATTCCAAAATATTTTTAAGGGTAAGGGGTGTATCGGGCGCACCCCGAAAAAAGCAATAATTTTCTTTAAAAAGAAATTTATCTATAAAAACTTGTTTACAACGAAAACTCAAAGTTTGTGTGTTTTCATTTGACCCCCCCCCCCCCCCCCCACCAGAAATATTTAAACCTGTATTTGCCGATGCATGTGAGTTATAATTCATTTATAATTATTAATCAATCAATTATATGCATAAAAAGACTATAAATGACTCATCGGTTCAAAATTATTTGTGAGAAAATTATGTCCGTTTATAAAAAAAAATTAATTGTGCTCCCCGGCCTAGAATTCCCATACTTCACATTTATTCAACGCACTAAATTTTGTATTTTATTTTTAATGCCTGTCTTATCTATTATTTTGTATTAATCACCCATATGTTTTTGTAATCTCTATATACAATAATTGTAAAATGGTGAAGATATTCAAATTAATGAATGAAAAGAATTCCTGATGAATTTTCTTTAAAAAATGTTCAGTATTGCTCCCTATAAAAATGTATTGAATCAAATACCTTAAAATTGATTTTCATATAATTAATTACTTTTAACACATTTTCTTTCCATCTTTCTTTAAATAAAAAAGAAAATCAAACAAATATGTTATACATTACCGAGTAAATTAATTTTGTTGTTTCCGTATTTTTTTTTCTCTTTTAAAATACCACCGGTATGATAGATCCGAATAATATTAGTTACAAACAACACAGAATGACATGTTGATCCATCAATAGCCATATTTAAAATAAAGTGACTTCCGAATGAATCCTACACGTTTCTTACACGATTCTTGCACGAAAGTCGCACGTTTCTCACACGGTTCTTACACGAAAGTCGCACGTTTCTCACACGCTTCTCGCATGCTCGCTACACGGTTTGCAAGAAACGCTTTGGAGCTTACACGAAACGCTGCACAGTTTACACGAAATGCTACACGGTTTGCACGAAACGCTGCACAGTTTACACGAAACGCTACACGGTTTGCACGAAACGAAAAGCGCACGAAAGTCACACGCTTTTTTGGGGTTATAGCACGTTTCAGGGTCTGTAATTCAAATTAAGGACAGGAGGCATGCATGTCACCAAATTATCATGAGTATTTCCATAATCTCTATGATTAAAAACACTTTTTAAATTAATTTAAAATATCTAAATTGACAAAATCTGAATTCATGGACATAAAATGTTAATACATAGTACCATAAGAAAGTCAAGCAAATTATTGTTTACCAATATTTTATTGTACTTCTGAATTATGATACATGCTATCATAATATTTCGTAATCCCATTTTATAATTTTAATCAATAATGAATGTACAAATAAAAGTGCTTAATTGTTTTCAAATTTTAAAGCATTTTACCAAATTATCAGACACCATGAACCCATAATGTGTCCATCTAACAAAAAGAAATGAACTCTAATGAATGTAGACAATTTATGGCATTTATGAAACCTGAATTCTCTCCCCTAATCAAGTAGAGATTTTTCTGAAGGCTATGATCCTTGAACATACATGTAGCTTTATAGTTCTGACTTCCAGCAAGTGAGAACTACCAAGTTTATGTTTTCAGTTCTCTTTGAGAGGAGAGTATAATTTCACTTTGCAAAGTTACATTTTTTTTAAGAAAAAGATGTCCTTTTTATCTGCTGACAACACATCCCCCAATTAATATGCAAAAATTAAAAAAACTTTTATACCTTACTGACTTGACTTTGACATAATTTTAGTTGAGTCAAACCTGCCTTAGCTACTCAATGTCTTAATAAGTGACTTGTCTTCTTATCATATGTGACCATAAAAAATCTTCCTGTTAAACAGAATACAAGCCTTGTCTGGCACTTCTTGCTCTGTATAAATCGACTTTCCATGCATAATTTGGTCATTGTCATTTTAGGCTTACGACGTGTTGCTTTTTCTAAATTTGGCTCTTATACAAGTATTCAAGAAGTACACATTACCATCTAGCACTTAAAAGCAAGAACAAGATTAATTTTAATATGGAGGTCATGAAAATATTGTTGGCCAAAATAAATAATCCTCCTAATAGCATTAACTGAATAAAGTGCCCCACCACAGCATGATACACCCGTCAAATATTACACCGCAAAATGGGCATGGGCATTTAATTGACTCATCATTTTAGGCTTACGACGTGTTGCTTTTTCTAAATTTGGCTCTTATACAAGTATTCAAGAAGTACACATTACCATCTAGCACTTAAAAGCAAGAACAAGATTAATTTTAATATGGAGGTCATGAAAATATTGTTGGCCAAAATAAATAATCCTCCTTATAGCATTAACTGAATAAAGTGCCCCGCCACAGCATGATACACCCATCAAATATTACACCGCAAAATGGGCATGGGCATGGGTCAAAATGCCACCGATATTCGGCTGTTTCCCCTCACAAAAATAAGCTATTTTTTCCCAATTATTAGTATATTTTTCCCAATTTCAAACATACAAAATTATGTTTCAATTTTGAACAAAAGTCGCTAAATTTGCTGACAGAGTAAATACGTTTTTATTCTTCAAATCCATGCATATGCAGCCGATTTTTTTAATGAATGTGTAAAACAATGCAGATATCCTTATAAGCAGATAAGTAACTTATAATATTCTCAATGAATTGGTAAATAGTTTCCAGATACAAGTCATGTTGCATGTTGACATAATGATTTTGGTTTGACCGCCAATATTACATAGAGGGTCAGGCTAATAACAGGAAATGGACAACACAATCATAGGTTTTCACTAAAATCAGGAAAAAACAAACAGAAAAGACTGTAAACTTGATTATCAATATAAGACAGTTTACTAAATTATGAGTCTAAATGGTGGTTATTATTTTTTTTTAATGAAATTAGACAAAGCAATACCAAGAAAATAGAAGCTACAAGATGTGACTAATATAAGCCATGTTCACATTCAATATAATATTGATGTTAATTATTTTAAATGATTATTTTATGAATTTAAATCAAATTTAAAGTTAAAATCAAACAAAATCTGTTGTTGTTACTTAGTTTGATTGTTTTATGTATTTTTTAGCATTCTAATTTACTATAAATGATTTTTCCCAATTTGAGGAAAATGTCGCTAATTTTTCCCAATTCAAAAGGAGGGGTGGTGGTGTAAAAAACAAAAAAAATCACTGTTAACAACTTAATCTATACCAATATAATTTTGAAAGTGGCCATCAAGTGACATAATTTGCTATCAACTACAATTAAGAAAGAGACCAGCAGTTCTGCCTAATTCCCAAAGGATACAGATAAGAGCTGCTTGATCAGAGATGCTCTAACAGAAGTGATTGAGACAGCTAGCCTTCCTACATTGAACACATTAATTAATCTTTAACTGGATGCATGTCCACTCATTACTCCCAAGAGATGAAATGGATCTGTACTTTCTGCTTTGTAGTCACAATAAAAATGCATAGTAATGTCATTCTGTTGAAAACAAATATTTTTAATTTTTTTTAAATTTGTTACAAAGATTTATAACATGAAAAAAAAATTGTATAATCTTGATGCAACATTTTTAATACTGCATGACTCTCAGATTTGTAGGTACAGTGGCTTCCATTTTATCGGATAGCGGTTTATTTGCTACGATGTATTATCAATACATGTAGCTCTATACATCTATCTTTGGACTCGGTATGGAGCAATCGGCTATTCTAATTTTCGGCTATTCGGATAAAACTGGGCTGACAACTTGACTATTCGATAAAACGGGAACCACTGTACTATCTACATGTACCATAAAGCATTTTTTTTAATACTTGGTGATATTTTTTTGAAATTTAATGACTGGTGTTAAGCTGCAATTCATATGGACAGATGAACATGTTGATTCCAATATATGCCCCCCCCCCCCCCCCCCCCCCCCGGTATAATTAGTTTTAATTATATTATAAAATATCAAATTAGTTTCAATTATATTATACAATATCAAACTAGTTTTAATTACTTTACACCAAATTTATTTTGAAAGTTAAGGGGCTAGTTAACAAAAATTATTTAATCAACACAAGCAATAAGAGGCTGATTCCTCTGCCCAATTCCCAAGAGATAAAGATAACATCTGCTTGATCAGAGATGCTCTACCAGTTATCTCCTCACACTAAACTCATTAATTTCACTCTAATTTGACATGCAATTTTCTGTTATCAAAATTCTCCATGACCAGTTGCTTGATAATTACACCCATGGGGAGAGGTGGAATTTCTCAGAACATTACATTTGTTATAGATTGCTGTAAAGTATATCATGAAAAAAATAAGTATTTTCTTGATTTAACATTGTTTTAATAAGGATACTGCAATACTCTTACATTTTTTTGGATTGTGTGATTTAAAAGTTAAAAGACGTAGTTTTTAAAAAATTTCACTTAAATTAAAGGTCACAGTGACCTTGAAGTAGGGTGAGACGCACCTTCTACATAAGACGCATTAATTGGTCAAGTTTGATGATTCTAGGTCTTATAATTTTCTAGTTATGAGCTGGACAGGATTTTTCCATATTTGGCCATAGCATCTTAATTAAAGGTCACAGCCACCTACTTTAAATGCACGACACACCTTCTACCCAAGAAGTATCAGCTGACAAAGTTTGATAATTCTAGGCCTAATAGTATTTAAGTTATGAGCCGGACATGAGAAAAGCTAACAGACAGACAGACGGACAGACGGACGGACATGAACGCCATAACATAATACGTCCCGTCTTAAGACGGGCGTATAAAAATACCATATCATGTTATACAACACAAAAAGTGCAAGTATCTTACAAGCCATGGCCTCTTCATTTTCATGATTCTTATTTTTTCCAGATGCTTTTCCCGTTCTTCAAAGTTTTTGACATCCTGCTCTAAGCGAGCATTCATTTGTTGCAAATCTGCTAATCTTTCTTTCAGACTATTAAAGTTTTGTGTATGTGACCGAGCTTCTATCCTGGACTGTTTAAGCCGCTGGTGATTTTCATACATCTCTGGTATGCCAACCTGTAGAAAGTTACAATGCAATAAAATACATAGTATACAAAAGGCCCATAGGCCTTGAAGGTCACCTGAGAGTCAAAGTAGAATTAAATTTGAACCGTGTTCACACAAAGAAATTTAATGCGAATTAATTTAATTTGAATTAATTCACTACGCATCAAATTGCTTCACTTCAACTCTATACATGAATGTCAAGCAAAGTTAATTTGAATTAAATTTTGACCATGTATAATGAAGCGAAGCTAATTTGAATTAAACTTTGACCCATGAGTAATAGCAAGACTAAGCCACATGTTGGTGGTCAGATATAAGTACTTTTGCTATTTTGGAGTGAAAAACAAAGGAAAATTAAGTTTATCTTTAAAATTGTGTACAGACTCTATGAAATTATGTCAAATGTAAAATTTGCTCTGCATAAGGTGACATGATTTTTAAATGATATCATAAAAGTTTTACTGTAGAAATAAAATTTTTATGCGCATTAGTTTACTTCACATTAATTGTTGTGTGGATGCAATTTAATTTGCATTAGTTTACTTAGTATTAGTTTACTTAGCCTTAATTTACTGCAAATTAAATATTAAATGCACATTCATGTGAACAAGGCATTAGTGAAGCAGTTAATTTAACTTACAGCTTTTTCTGTGTTTTCTAGGAGATCTTCTGGTGTCATTTTTGCAAAGTCTGCGACCTTTTCTTGAGGCAGGAACTGGCAGAGATTTCCTACCTGAATGTTCAGTCTGGCCACCAGTTCATCCACCTTAAAACACATCAAACTTGGGAGTTAAAAAATAAATATATAAAACTCAGAAACAAGTAGAAACACATGCGAAACAATGAGCCTGTGGCTGCCAAGCTCCCCTGAGTCACATTGACCCTGCTTATCTAAGAAAAAAAATTAGATTTGAACAACAAACTTGAATGTACACTGTGTGGGGATATTTGCAGAGAATGCCATTCTTGAGATTTTTTTTAAAGATTTCCCAATATCGTAGACATACTTATTTTTAGCGATATTTATACTTTAGTGCCTTCAGCACTGCTTCTTGCCTGCTATTTTATGTACATGCTAATAAACAAGTATGATTAAAACTAAATACATCCCATTGTTTAAACTCTAGTGTGATAATTTATGGCTGCACTATCACTTGAGGAGGATGACTGCACTACATTTTGAGTGTGGTAAATTAAGTACATTTATAGTATATTTACATGTGGAACCTATATCACACTTATCGCCTATTGTGGCCAAGCCTTAGCCCTGGCACCCACACTTTGTCTACATTATATGGAGAAGCTTGCATATTTTTATGACTAATGTCCCTGCTATATTCTTCATCTGAAGAAATTTAATTATTTTTTCTATTTATTCCCATGAAAAACTTTGATCCCCTATTGTATCCCCATCCAAGCCCTGGAGACCAAAATTTGAAAATGCTTGAATCTTCACTACATGGGGATGCTTGCATATTAATTTGACTTAGTCTAATTTTGTTCTGCTGATCTAAAAAAGACTTAAGTTATTCTAACATTTTTTTCCTATTTATTCCTACAGAAAACTTATCCACTCTATTGGTGACCTCATCCATGCCCCCGCGGTAGTGATTTTAGCAAATCTTAGGAAAAAGAGAAAACTGATATTAAATTAAATTTCGGGAAATTGGATATATATAATTAAGATTTCAGAATGTACCGATTTCATAGTTGCTGTGCGACCATTAACAGACCAGGAAGATGTGTTGTTTTTCTGGATTTCTCTCAAAATGATCCAGTTTTCACCATTGCTGTTGTATCTGTAACAAAAATCAATTAATACATTTCATTTTCCATAAACCAAACTCTAAATAAAATGAGCTTTGAAAAGTATTAGGTACATGAATTGGTGATCATTTTCAAAAAATAGTACAAAAGATTAAATATCATTATATTCTTGTAATGAAAAATTTAACCATAGAGTGTAAACTACACAAACCAAATGCCATTTTTGTTCTTTCAGTGTACATCAACAATACCTAACCATTTTCAAAAGAATTAAGCATGTTTAGTATATAATCAATGATTTATCAATGCTGTTTTAATTACTGGTAAAAGGTACTTTTCCCCTTTGGAAAAAATGTCAAAATCCCCCCCCCCCTCTACTTACCAAAAATTTCCAGATTAAACATATATGTAACACAGGGTTCGACACTAACTTTTTAAGGCTTTAGTCCAGCCGGACTAGTGCTTCGTTACTTTTAATAGTCCGCACGCGATTTTATTAGTCCGTCAAAAAAAAAAAAAGAAACATCAATGTTTTTTAACATTAATTTAACGTGACAATTAATATACGTATTATTTTTTGAAATAAACAAAGTATTTACATGAAATATATTATTCCACAGATTCATTGAAATCTCGCAATCAGCAAGTACGATCGAATTCCCGATCTCTCTCTCTCTCTCTCTCTCTCTCTCTTTACATTACATCCAAAATGACCAACATCTTTCTTAAAAGTGTCATACTAAATCATGATCGCTAAAACCTTGTACTTCATATCGATCAGTCGAAAAATTAAGCGCTGAATTGACCCAGCATTACGTAACTACCTGCCAAAAGCTAGAAATCTAAAAATACACGCGGGGTTTTCCAGTAAAAGTTGTCGAGAATCGGACATCGGTAATTTATTCATATTGTTTTTCATAAATTTTTATTGGTCCGTTCGGACTAATTAGCCACATATTTTATTAGTCCGAATGAAAATGTATTAGTCTGAGACTAACGGACTAACGTTAGTGTCGAACCCTGTAACATATTTAAAATATATCTTTTTATGATATTTTTAGAAATGACCCCTATAGTAGCTCTCAAAATGCAGATTTAATTTTACATTTATCTGAAAATTTCAAAGGGTTAATGCCCCTGGACTCCAATTGTATATTTACACCTCAAGTGCTAATGTTGTGTAATCGTTCTTATTTTTCCCCCTTTATGTAAAAAGGTTAGACAAATACAATTGCTAGATAAATCCCTGATAATCTGATAAATTTTGCAATATGCTACATCTACCACGATAAATATTAAGTATTTATTCACAATTTTCATTACTTAATGTTTATAGTACAATTACACTTGCAATCAATGCAATTATAATGGGGATGTGGACAAATTATCCATTAGTAAGGAGACTCCTTGACCCTAGAGGAAATACTCTTAAGGTGCTTGGACACAGATTTGAAGTTAATATTTTCTCAAATTTTCTGTAAAATTTCATGACTTATATGTTGCTATAGCATTTCATACTAAAATATAATAAAAATCTTATTTCATCTCGAAGTTATTGAAACTTCAAATTTCTGAACGCGTTTGATTGACACATCCTTGCACTTTCACAAATTTTAATTTTATTCTCAATACTTAAGAAAAGTGGCGATTTTGTTGTGTATTAATGAAAAATATTAAAACTATAATCCAGAAAGTTCAGAGTAGAAATGTTCGAAAGCAAAACCCACTCACAGTATTGTCAGTCCGTGCTCAGTGGTGTGTGCAGACTTTAACAATTGAACACACCCGGTGAATCGTAAACATTAACAATAACAGAGCTCGTGCCCTGTTTACAAAAACAGTTTACTTTTCACGGGTGTATTCAATTTGTTAAACTCTGTACACAACACTGAGCACGGGCTGACGATATTAGTGAGGGGGTTTGCTTTCGCACATTTCTACTCTGAATTTTCTGGATTATAGATGTAATGTTTTTCATTAATACACAACAAAATCGCTTCTTTTCTTAAATGTTAGGGATAAAGATAAAATTTGTGAAAGTGCAAGGATGTGTAAATTAAACGCGTCCAAGAATTAGTAGTTCCAATAATTTCCAGATAAAATAAGTTTTTAATTATATTTTCGTGTGAAATGCTATTGCAATATATAAGTCGTGATATTATACAGAAAATTTGAGAAAATATTAACTTCAAATCTGTGTCTAAGCACCTTTAGGGACAAGCCACAAGTTTACAAACCAAACAAATAGATTTCTTTTATATTTTTTTTCAGTGAACATATATTTTCATACCCTGATGATTCTACAGTATAATCATAATTTGTCCAAACCAGTACATGTGTACCACCAGCTCCATTAAAATTAGCCAGATTAGACAGAATACGGAGAGCAGTAACTTACAGTTCTAATTCAATCTTTGCTTTCTGGCATCCATACTTGATGTAGTCCCCATACTGCTGAGCTCGACCTAGTAGCCCAGTCTTACCACCTAGTCCTAAGCATATGGCACATACAATTGAGCTCTTCCCAGTACCATTAGGACCAATAATTACATTTAAAGAAGGACCAGCATGAAACTCCACCGAATCATAAGTCCTGCAAAACAATGAATTTTGATTAGAAAGGTCATTTGTAAAACTCAATTTTTAAATATACACATATATATACAGTCTAGATTTTTGAAAGCATCAATTTTATGTGGAAAAAAGAAATGGTTATGATTATGGATATAAATGACCATTCCCTATGTGTCATCAGACAAGCAAACAGAAAATATGGTTATACCATATACATTTGATAGAATGTTAGTACATGTATATATTACATGTAGAAATACAAAGTTCTGTAAAATTATAATATTTTATTTTTAATGTACAACTTTGTGTCAATTTTTTAGAAATAAAAATTATTTTGAATCACACTGTTCACTTAATTTAAATAGAATAGTTAACATCTGAAAACATATCAGCCAAAAAAAAAAAGAATTTAAAGCCAGAAAGGCTCCAATGGCACCAAATAGGAACAAGAGTTTCAACAGTTCTTCATGTCTTTTGAATGGGTGCGTCTTTTTACCACAAGGAACCACAAGGTACCACAAGGAACCACAAGGATACCACAAGGAACCACAAGGAACCCCAGGGATACCACAAGGTACCCCAGGGACACCATATACACCTTAATTATTCTAAATATGGTTTATATGCACTTGTAAATTAGAAAAAAATGTTTTTGAAAGGCAATTTAACACTTTAATTGTCTTAAATATAGAGCAGTTATCCAAGTTAAAAATTTAAAAGTAAATATACTTATTTAAGCTAAATTATGCATTTATAGTTCAGAGGAACAGTTAAATTATTGTATCTTTTTATGATGTACAAAAAGTTAATGGTTAATTGTGTATTGCAATAGTCAATACACAAACCAAAAGTTGATATCCAAGAAGAATCCTAATGATAACCCCTGTACCACTAGGATAAGCCAAGGTACCTGAAAGAAAATCCAAATGACACTCAATTCAACTTTTAAAAAATCTTTTCATGGTTTAAATGCACTTGTTAATTATGAATTATAACTGTTTATTGTATATTTGTATAATACAAAACATAAAGAATAAAAGAACCCCAAGGGACATTTAGGATCATGATGAAATCCCAACAAACAAACCCAAAGAACCACTTAGATTAATAAATGACATTCCATTCAACCTTAATAAATCTAAATATGATTTATGTTCATTTGTTAATTACAAAGTAAACTGTTTATTGTAAAGATAATTTTTTTTAGGTCACCTGAGTCATTCAGTTGACCTACCAATTGTGATTTGTTTATGTTTGTTGTTCATTGGTCATAAAATGTTGAAATTTTCAGCTTCTTTTGAACCACTGAACCAATTTTAACCAGTTTTATGGGTATAAAGTTAACCAGTTTTTATAGGTAAAGGGAAACATGAATTTTGAATTTCATGGTCCTTGACCCCTCTCCCCTTCTGGGTTTGAAGGATGGGACTAAAACCATCAAAATACATTGTATATGCAATCGTTAAAATCTTCTTCTTTACTCTTGGAAATCCAATAGTCAAACTGTTGACATGAATGTAATAAGCATTAATTGAGCTCTCTATCAATTGTAAAATTTGTGGCCCAGGGGTCAGGTTTTAGGGTAATCTGGTGAAAAAGCATTATTTCTTTCAAAATATTCTTTACTCTAGGATATTAGATTAGGCAAACATGTTACCAGTAAATGCATGGTGTGATGCATATATGAGCAAGGGTGCCTCTTACAAAATTGTGAAACTTTATGGCCTGTGGGTAAGCTAGGGGTTCTGGTGTAGGGTGAGGATCTATTGGTAATATAGTGAAAAAGCATCATTTTTTTGAAAATCTTCTTTTGAAAGTGCTTACAGTTGTGTTGAGAAAATGCATACGGTGCCATTTTCAAATTATTTCTTTTAAAACCCCTTCTGCCCCTGGTATTTAACACATAAAATAAATTATTTATGTCAGAAGTGCAACTATAGATGATGGGGGAAAAAAACTTGCATCCTCATTCAAGTCTAGAAAGTATGAAAAACTACCCATAAATGGTGTACAATTTCCAAACAATGAAGTGCCTTTAATTACAAAATAAAAAAAAATGAGTGTGTTATAAATTTAAGATGATGTTTTTTTGTAAACATATCAGAAGTCAGGAGCTAATGCAACAAAATGATCGAGGTTAAATAGAATCACTTCCAAATCTTGTATTTAAAAAAAATAACACTTTCAAAATTCTTTTTTTGCCTTTTTTAGTTTTCAGAATTGCCTTATATAAATTGATATTAAGTAATTTGTTGGGAATTAATTTTAACACGTCATTTATTAAACTTTCTACACGAGTTAAATTTATGGTCTGACTGTCTGTATATGATCAAATTTTTGGTGGAGATTTGTCTTTTTAAATAAAAAGTTCTAATTTTTCAAATAAAATTCTGTTAATACTGGTTAATAAAAATTAATTCTGAAACTTTTCTATGGATTTGTGTATTCTATTGATATACTTAAAAAGTATTCAACTAGAATGTATATATACATATTATGATCTTATAATTGGAAAAATATGTTAAAACAAACTGAATTTTCTCCAAAATTTCCAATTTTTGAATTCACACACCTTATATATCCAAATGTAAGTAAACAACAATAATTTCAGTTAATTTACTAAAACTACACTGCTTTTGAAAAAATTTCCTGGGTAAAAATCGCAGGAAATAAACTAGAAAAACTAAATATATATATATAAACACAAAAACTTTTCTCAACAAAACATTTTCGTTCATTGTTTTCATAGCATTTATTCCTTAATACAATATAAAAACAATCATGTACATGTAAAAAGGAAGTCCAAGGTTGTGAGTTTCTTTGTTATGGAAATGCATGAATTCAAACTTTATAAATTTCTCTATATTAGATTGATACATTTATTAAAAAATAAATCATCATGCATTCATGGCATATTGTATGAATGTCTATAGATTGTACAGAATATGATCATCTCAATTAAGAGAAGTTATGGAATATAGAAATGATAGCATACATCTATTTTCAATGACATATGGAGAACTCTCTTGTGTACAGGATTTCTTGTTTGTGTGCATGCATATATCCACAATTTCAATGGCTCTGCATGTCCCTATATATACCAATTAACTGACAAAGTCCCAAGATTCCATTTTAAACCTCAATATAAAGAAGAGACATATTGCTTTCATTTCCCATAAAAAAGTTTCCTTTGAGGGTTCAGGTATTGCAAAATAGGCTTTGTGAAATTACAATATTCCTGAATTTTGAAGAAAATGGATGAATTTGAGCATCTTCAGTTAATAATTAAAATATGAGCCCACCCCACGATCCAAAAAAAAATTTCATGGATAAAAATCTGATGAAACAGTTCTTTCAATATATAAATAAACAATTTATATCAGAGGTTGGGGACTATGCAAAATATTGAGAAACAGCTTCAATTTTTGACCGTTTTTAAAGAGGTTTTTTCAGGATTTGAGGAAAATGAGGCAACTCATGACTTCATAATTATTAATACATGGACTAGAGAGAAAATTATGTCATTTTTAATTGGTATGCAGTCACTGAGGTTCCAAGTGAAATTTTAACATATTTTCAATGAAGACTGAGCAGATTTGATTCTTCAGAAATTCACAAGGCCAAAAAAGGTCCTATTAGTAAGTGAACTTTGTTCTCTAATAAATATAGATCTACAAAACTTAGAACCATGCAGTTACTACCAGGTATAATAGATTGAGACAAGTAGCCAAGCTATTTACTATCCTATAGGAGATAATTTATTAATACAATATGTGTGAATTATAATTATTAAACTTGCATGAGAATGAATTATGATTTTTTTTTTAAGTCATATATGGCGTATTTTTGATAAGTTCAGACTCAACTAAAATTAAAAAGATCTTTCTATTTGTTTTAATTACTTTGTATAAGGATAGGACTTTCCTGTAAATTACACAATTTAAATCAATCGCGTTTCATAAAACTTACGACTTTTCAACTTTATACACAACCATTCCCCATGATAAATTAAAGTCCAGGCTTTTTGATATCATTGACAGCTGCTTTTTCAATAAAAATGGAACTCGTAAATATACTTACCTTGTCATTGATCATTTGCAAAATTATTTTGTTAAAAAACATTCTGATTGTACACACAAGTACTCTGAAGTTGACATTAAAAAGATGCTTGAGTTTCTGATTGACAATATCTATGTGGTTTTTGGAGACCAGGTCTTCCAACAATCTATTGGAATACCTATGGGTACCAATTGCACCCCGTTATTAGCAGACCTTTTTTTGTATTCATATGAAGCAGAATTTGTCCAAAATCTTGTACGTGAAAAGAAGAAAACACTTGCTGTTGTGTTCAACTCGACATTTAGATATATCGACGACATATTGTCAATTAACAATGGCTATTTTCATTCTTATGTCGATACGATATATCCTGGTGAACTTGAGATAAAAGATACCACAGAGTCTGACACATCTGTTTCATATTTGGATATTTTACTTGAAAAAGACGTTAATGGTAATCTAACAACCAAGCTTTATGATAAACGTGATGACTTTAACTTTTCAATCGTCAACTTCCCTTACTTATGCAGCAATATACCTTCATCACCTGCATACGGGGTATATATCTCTCAGTTGATCGATACGCAAGAGCATGCTCTACGTATGTACAATTTCTAAAACGAGGTAAATTATTGACAAATAAGTTGATGAAACAAGAATATCAGCGGTCTCGTTTAAAGTCATCATTTCGTAAGTTCTATGGTCGATACAATGACCTTGTCAGCAAATACAATTTATCATTGAGTCAAATGCTGACTGACGTTTTTCATACTAATTGTTAGGCCATTATTTACACACTGAATTGTCGACGGATTTTTCCGTTATTTCCTGATCATGACAAGGAGCACACGGCGGGTGTGACCGGTCAGCAGGGGATGCTCAATCCTCCATGGCACCTGATCCCACCTCTGATGTATGGAGGTCCGTGTTTGCTCTGCTCCTGTTTTGTATTGTATAATGGATTTTTGAGCTTGAATACTGTTCGTTATCTCCATATATTTCATATTAGAAATTTAAGGGTAAAACAATAATCGATTTATTTACTGACTCCGCATTGAAATATCAGACACAGTTTAAAGTCATTTTAACTATAGAAACGTGGGGTTATTCAAGTTCAGAATCAGTGAAAATTTTAATTTGAACGTAAATAACGAATATCATGTTCAACTACACTCTATCTCGTATTTTTATTTTTTACCTCAGATATGCCATATATAGCTTTAAGTATTAATGTATTTAAATGATGTAATTAAAAAATGCACATAAACCATATTTACATTTATTAAAGCTGAATTGGATGTCAGTTATATGGCTCATTATTGGGGTACTTAAGTGTATTCTTCAGATACCTAGGGTTTCCTTGGTATCCTTTTTTGTGTATTAAAATATGCAATAAACAGTTACTATGTTATTTACAAAAGCATAAAACCATTTTTAGATTTATAAAGGTCCAACTGGGTGTCCTTGGGGTATTTTGGGATATTCTTCGGGTTACCCTGGGATGCCCTTGTGGTAACTTAAGGCTATCCTTTGGTTCTTAAGCGAGTATCCTTTTGATTTGTGTATTGAAGTATATACAATAAACAGTTACTGTGTCATTTACAAGTGCAAATATAAACCATATTTACATGTACATTTATTAATGTTGAATTGGGTATCCTATGGTACACTGGGATTTTCTTTTGGTACCTTAAGAGTATTATTTGGTTTTATGTGAGTGCCCTTTGGTTTTGCGTATTGAAATACACAAATCATAGTTAAAACATGATTATTTATTTACACCGTATAAAATATTAAAGTTCTTCAAAACTAAACATGCATAATTGAGCTTAATTGTTTAATTAATTAATATTACCTATAAATTTTTAACTTGGGTAACTCCTCTATATTTAAGACAATTAATTTAAAAGTGTTAATTTGTCTTTCAAAAACATTTTTTTTCTAATTTACAAGTGCATATAAACCATATTTAGAATAATTAAGGTTGTATATGGTGTCCCTGGGGTACCTTGTGGTATCCCTGGGGTTCCTTGTGGTTCCTTGTGATTCCTTGTGGTATCCTTGTGGTTCCTTGTGGTACCTTGTGGTTCCTTGTGGTAAAAAGACATACCCTTTTGAATTGAATTAAAAAAAAATTAATGAACATTGTAATCAAATTATGTCACAATTATAGTTTAGGGCCTTATGCCATGATCAGAACTGATCTGGGTCCAAATTAAGCAAGACACCATGGAAAGTAAACAAAAATGGACATCTGTTGGTGTGAATAATTAACTCATCTCTGCAATCAGTTGAAGAACTATGAAGAATTTACTGCTATATCATTAATTAAATGGGGGGGGGGGGGTAATTTTCTGTTTTCAAGGCATGAAGAGGCCCACAGCTTCATGTCAACCACATAATGTTAAATATCATATACTGTAAATCACCTTTTATTTGACAGAATTTTATTTTCGTATAGTTATGCGAGACATTCTGCTCAACTCATGTATATTTTCATTAGTATAGATTATATACAACAATACCCAGAATTCGTTAAAAATGTTTCTCACATATAAATATCAAAAAGCTATCTAGTGAAAATAAGGTGTTCGTGAAAATTTGGTGGTCTACAGTACATAACCACTCAACAATTCTTCATCCACAAAATCACATCCCCAAGATCTCAAAGTTTTTCCTCAAACCAGTAAAATTTGACCCCACGAAAATATGTATTTTATCTAATAACAAAACATCGCTGGCCATTTACCAGATGTGTTGCACCACTAATTTAGATACGATCCCATGATGATTCCTGCCGAGATATTCAGAACTGTTGCTGTGAAATCAGCTTTATTGGGCACTAATTATTACACTCTCCTCTCTAATCAATTTTAGGAAGATGATTTTATGACAGTAAAAGAAAGTAGAAAGGTGACCGAAACATCTGTCTTGAAAAGCTTGCAAAGTTGGCGACTATTTCACTCAAGTTGCACGTTACATGGAACGAAATCATTAAAAGTTAGGGTCAGCACTATAAATTAGGCTCGGTCGGGAAAGCAGAAACAAACATATTTTTTTCCTAGGTCTAAATTGGTCCTTCTACTTTCACTTGTATCATGAACATGCATGCAGTGTTCGAAATTCAGAATTATTTTCTATGGGTCCAAAGGACCCATAGAGAAAGGGACCACATGAGTCCTTCCAGGGAAGCATAGGCCCAAAAATACCATAAAATATTTGGGAAAAATAAACTTTTACATTTTGATGATCTCAGTAAGTTTATCGCTTCATATGAAATATGTCAATAAAGGGTAACTACAACAACTCGCAAGTATTAACAATATGAAACGGTAAAACATTAATCGTCAAACAGTCTTACTTGGTCATATATAACATGTAAAGAGTTTAACATGTGTTTAGATTTTTCCTCGGAATTACAATTTCTGTTTTTAAAATCGGCAGGTAGAAAATTACACAGGTTTCTTAGATTACCACAGTATGTTCTTAAAATGTACTAAGTATACTTGGACAATTTTTCGTGGAAAGTTTGTAACCGCATACATATAGCGTAAATTTATTCCACGCAGGAAAATAAATCTTCAGTATTTATTTAAAATGCACATGAAAAGAAGAATTGATACAATCTTGATAAAAATAACAAGTTTTACCCATCTTAAGTCCAATTTCTTTTAAAGACGCTCATTGGTTAATTTTTTTTAATAAATATCCAATTAAAATGCAGGAAAGATATAAAAGCTAATGTAAATGCATAAACCAATATATGTTAACTTCAATCGCAATTTCTAAAGCCTATCCAACAACCGGTAAAGAAAAACAACGGTGTATTTTTTCAAGCTCGCCGGAAAGGTCCAAGAAGATGTGATTGACTTTAACTTGTTTCCCGGCAAATCATCATCGGCCCAAAATTAATTCAAGGACCCATTTATTTCCTTCCGTTTGTACGTCGGCACAGGACCGACGGGCCGACGCTAATTTCGAACACTGCATGCATGTATGTGTACAACTAGTAAACATCTGTCCTTCATTGTCAGAGGAAAACAACTTAATGAACATGTGCCATCAATTTGCCTGACATGTAAACCCTTCATACATGATAATTCTCTCTCACTTTTGGCATGTAACTGATTTTCAAGTTCACACAAACATTTAACAGGTCTGGTACAATCACTAGATTTAGCTTCATAGCTTTAATTACCCACATAGCTTTATTTACCTACCTGAAGTAGCTTTATTTAGCTACTAAATCAAACTTTTTTCTTAAATAAGCATTTTTCTCAGGATGTGCAGAAAATGACACTTTGGTGCAGTGATAAATTTCAACTTTCAACTCATCCGAAAACAATTCATGAAAAAATCACTCTTGAAGATGTGTCTTTTTTTTCGCAATTGCAATCAAAGTTCTAAAAGTTTTGGGGCTATATACAACAGTAACTTTGTGTCCAAACAGTTACTTCTCGAATGAAATAACAAAGAAGACCAGTTTTGGTTAACATGATAATTAATTGGTAGTTATTCAGCACAATGTGAAGTAATCATTTTTATCAGTGCCTCACTGCAAACAAGGAGGTGTACAGTTACTCAAACAATGGAACTACATCTTTTGCTTAAAAGTGTTCAAATGCGGCAATGTTTAAACTATCTCTGCTTTGGATTGCTTTTTAAATCATCTTTAATATAAATATTAGTAGGAATTTAGTTGCGATTTTTTGTCTTTTAAAAATAATAAGCAAAATTGTGAAAAGTTGGATTGAAATAGCTAAATAAAGCTACCTGAAGTAGCTAAATCAAGCTACGATAGGTAATTCTAGCTACATACCTAAATGTACACAACTGATTGTACTGGACCTGTTTAACAGTAATGTTAGCTGTGTCAACATTGACACACGTTTGTATAAATTTTCTGTTCTTAAAAACACTACACACACAAAATCCTTACATAGAACGTCTGCAAAGTTTGATGGGAATGGCGCAACCATTACACTTACAAAAAGTTATCGAGCTTGATCCTCACTATTGAACCTTCTTCCCTTTCGGAATTTATACATTGTTTAGATTTTTGAATACGACCAACCAGTGCTGCAGCGCTTAGATTTCGTCTGCTTCCCATTTTCATCCTGCTTTTTCTAAAATTTCAGATCATGATGAGGCTACCTTCGGCCTTCCCGGGTAAAATCTGAACGTTGGTATATTTGAAATATCGAGCCCGACAATTTAATGGTGACATATTTTTCGCATTCTCTATCCAGAGTTGTCGTTCCCGCTACGCTCCCACATACACATGATGAAAAATTGTGTTAATAATAGATTTTAGTTATATTTCTCATCTGAAAACAGGATTTATTTCAATCCATTACCCTTTGAAAGGATTATTTAATTAAATTTTAGATGTACTAGAGATTGTATGCGAGTGTGTTTGGGGGGGGGGGGGGGGGGGGGGGAGAGGGAGGGGTCATAATAGAAAATAGCAAAAGTCAGGATGAAGATACGACCATTTAATTTTGAAGCGGAGGGGGGTGGCCAAATTTTTTTTCGAGTCAGATTATTCATTTTCATGCCGGCCAAGAACAGATTATTTATTTTCTTCTTCACTTCCAGAAGTAAGTGTTTTATTAAGTCTGTATTAGACAATTTCAAAACCATCGACAGTAACAAGAGGCCATGATTGGTGCAGGAAATAAAATTAATATTACTTGAAATATATATTTTTGGTTAGTAGGAAATTAAATATATTGATCTTATTTAGATTATTCAGTAAGGAAGTTTCCATATTTTCTCAGCAGAGTAAAAATAAGTTAAAAATTCTCAATTTTGTTAAGTAGTCTTCATATCATGATATAAACTGGAAAAAATGTTTACAATATTATTTTCACTTGTCAAATTGTAGATGACAATCGTAGATGTCTTCGCAATAAAGCTCCCACCGACCCCCCCCCCCCATTCCCCAATCCCTGTCGAGAGGGGGGGCCTTCTCCTTGCCTACCCACATTTTGCGCCTCAGATTTTAAATCTGTGACTTCTCATTAGCCTACACATTAGCAGATAGGAATATACGCCACTGGTTCGGGGGCCTACCCCGAGAAATTTTCTTTAAAAAATGGCTCCAAATGGTGCATTTTCCAGCATTTTAGATTGAATAAGTTAGTTTTTGGCCACCTTTTTTCTAGTTGTTTTTCAAGACCGACCTATACCCAAATTTTCAAGAATTTGAACAAAACATTAAAATTTGGGATCATTTTTAACTTTCAGGTAAACATGATAAATGAGACTTTCGAAAGAGAAAAATTAAACGTAAAATCTGATAAAATTAGAAATATCGCCATTTGATATATAATATCAAATTCTTCATTTTAAAAAAGCACGTCCAGTGTGTCGATCGCATGTGAAGTTCTGATTTCCAAAATACAACTGATGTGCAATTTCCCAACACTAAGAAAATTTGAATTCTATGTAGTAACCCTAATTACTCTTTTCAACTACTTGACTATACTCATATAATTTGCAATATAAACAAATAATGATATTTCATATTGAAGAATAAATATAAATTATTTTGGGAAATTGTTGGAATTATTGCTTCTTCATTGGGGGGGGGGGGGATTATAATTTCTAACATAAATGCACTCTTTAATTCTATTGTTTTTTACCTACTTACCAGCCCAATATTTGAAAAAAAAAGTCTTAGAAAACAATCAATAAAAAGGTGGCCAATTCTTGTTTTGACAGGACCCCTACTTTATACATATCAGTTTACCACAATTCATTATACAAAGTTGTAACGTTAGTTGGGTTTTATTAAACGTCATTCAACTGTAAATAAAAAAAAATGCTGATCTTTTGCTTTTAAAAATTGCATTGTAAATTCCAACTCCAAAAGGAACACTTTCAATGTGCTTTTTTGGTAGAGGTCACAACGTAAAACGACTAGTATACGTCCCTGATGTATTAACTATTTTTTTTTTCTAAATAATAATAATAATAATAACAGTTTATTCATGTAGTTCTTCGAAGAATGAAGAAAATTCTTGAAAGAATATTACTTTTTCAATACCAAAACAATACCGTAATATGGTTGTTAGTGTATGACCTTGTGTCATTTTTTTCATTTTTTTTTTCATTTATTGTTAGTTAATTCGTTGATGATAACATGTAGTAAAATTAAATATTTTAAAAACTTTTATCGGCTGCAGGAGCGGCCGATCTATTTGTGGTTGTGTTAGAAAGTGCGCATGGAGAAATGAGGTGTTACATGTATTTCTCTTTTAGTTTTTTAAATCAATTCGTTGATGATAACATGTATTAAAATTAGAGTAAAATATTTTAAAAACTTGATTTGAATAAGTCTTAAATGTTGTTATTATTTATTATTTCAATTTTTGTTCTTCTTCAGATAATTATTAATTTATGATTATACAAGCTTATCTTTTTAAAAAGATTGATGAGCTAGCGCTGTAGCATAATAAAATACAGAAGATATCTGAACCATTTGTTAAATTTGCTGAATCGATTAATTATTAATAAGAAGGCACATTGGAGCACTGGGGGGGGGGGGGTGTCATAATTCAGAATGGTGAATCTAAGAGTGGGCTTCACGTCGGCAATGGCATAACTCCTAACTGTGCTTTAAGCATTCTGTATTCTACTGTAATTTCAATTTGGAGGTGAAAAAAAGGTCAGTAGAACCAATGAGCACCTAGTTTAAAATATTCCAGTGTGGTACTGTTTTTTTTTTTTTTAGTTATCGCATCTTCTCGGAACTTTCCGGCAAGCTCGGTAAACATATCCGAGGTTGCGGCGGTTTTCCGAACTTGCCGGAAAAATCAATGAAGGTAGATTAGAAAAGCTCATGACAATTTTAGAAATAGCAGTCTTCGTTTTATAAGACCCGAGTAACTGTTACTTTTTGTTCATTTACGTGCAGGATAGACAACAAAACACGAAACTTCAGATCATATGTATTTTCAGATGATAAAAACTAAACTGACATGTCTTTCCGACATACTCTGAAAATATTTTTTTCCGAGTTTGCCGAAATATCCAGGAAGGTGGTGCAACTGTGAGAAAAGCTAGATGTCTAGAATCTTATGCATTATATGACCTAAGTTTTTCTTGTACTTTTACGTGTAGGTTAGACAATAAATTAAAAAAAATCAGAATCCGGATCTAGACTGGTATTGCCTGTCTCTAACGTAAGAAATGTATATCGCACATATCAGACAGGAAAGGCTAGTGTAAATTCTGATCATATCTATATTTGTATGGCAAAACGAAATTGTTATCGCACAGTCTATCTACAGTAGTTTTCCCAGAATGCCCGACCGTGAAGTCGAGCATGCGTATTCCAGAAATATAGACTAACGTAGTTGCTAGCGCTCGAGAGCGCTAGCAATAAAAGGGTTTACAATAGGTACTCCCCGACTTGGAAGAGTGTAAGATATGAACATAAATCGTTACGATTTTCCGGATAATAATTACAGTGGTAAAGTGATGAATAAAAAATGAAAAGTTTGTAAAACTAGTAAAAATAAATTTGTATATGCTACAGCTGCAAATGAAACAAGGATACTTTTTCTACACTTTGCATTTATTGTGATGTCCATCACCGCGCCATGCTGCATAGTCTGCAGGAATCATCGACATGATCACCTGACAAAGATCAGGGTATCAGCAGTTCATCTGTAGATTCGAATATAAATAGGCCTACAATTTTATCATCATTTACACATCACTGATTTTCTTATCGATGAATCAATTTAATGAACAAAAGCACTGGAATTCCTTTTTTCTTGCAATTTTTTATCTTTCTTTCTTTCTTTTTGGGGGATGGGGTTCTATCCTGAAATAAAAAAAAATGTTAACTCTTCCAGCTTTGAATATCTTGCGCTTTCCTTGAAAGCTTACTTGTGAAAATACTTTTTTTAAAATGCTACATTTTGTTTGCGACCGATTTGATGCTTTGCATTAATTTTACTTGTGAACTCTGTATTGTTGATTACCTGTGTATTCTTTGACACACCCCCCCCTCCAAAAAGGAAATTTAAATAATTCTCCCAACTCAAAATTTTATTTAGTGGGATGTAAAGGTATATAAACGAGGGGAGGGGGGGGGGCTTTCATTGAAACTTTTAATCCTTAAGATTTAAATTAAAACTTTACATTCTCAAAAGGCGGGGAGAGGGACAGGAAGCTTCCTGCAACCCACCCCACCCCTCACCCAAGAATCTTTGTGGCTTAATGTTATGTTCACATGAGTGGAAGTCAGGTGCAAGTGAAATAACTTTCCAAAACTATTTGCATCAATTTGCAATTTCCCTATCTATTTTTGGTCCAATGTAGAATGAATAATTCCTTATATTGACCTGGAAGGTCACGTGCAGGTCAATATAACGTAGTATTTTTCTAACATTATTAGATCTCAGCCAATCAGAGAGATGGGAATTATTCAATCATATAATAAAATGAATTATTATGATTCATCGTTATGAATGTTATATAGATTTAACTGACACAGGTTAGCCAAGGCCGTAACTAGGCTCAAATTTTTAGTGAGGCAAGGGAAGGATCTAGGGGTCATTCGAGTCCCAAGCGGGTCCAGGGTAGAGTCCTGATGGGGGTTACCGGGGGAGGGAGTTCCCTAAACCTGGGTTTCAGCAAATTAAAGACTTAATCTTTGAAAGTTTCACGCTTTAAAATTTTTTAGGCGTTCTAAACTATAATGAAGCACCTGATGAGAAGATCGATTCAGAGAAACTGAAACATAAGTTGAAAGCATCAATTTAGTACAAAGACACCAATTAAGTAAAACTTTTTTTTTCATTTTTCAGAATGCTCTAAAATTTAAGTGAGGCATTTCCCTCACTTGCCTCAATAGTAGTTACGGCCTTGTTAGCTGATTTTTATTTTTGGGGGGAATACAAAAGCCCATTGAGCTCATTTTCGTAGGTAAAAAAAAATCGCGTTATAATGCAAAAACTTTCGCGAATAAACGCAAAACTTTCGAGTTTATTCGCGAAATTAAGTTCCGCGTTATATCGCTATATATATATATATATATATATATATATATATATATATATATATATATATATATATATATATATATATATATATATATATATATATATATATATATATTACTTACGAAAATGAGCTCAATGGGCTTTCGTA